GTGTTCAAATTGAGTGGCTTCTTTCCCGACTCAGCATTGATTAACATAACGTCATACTCCGCAGCCTCCCAGGCTCATTTGGTCTCAGGACCTCTCTTTAGTATTAAAATGTCCACATTATATTGTGTTAAAATCGCTTGACGTAGAAAATTGTGCCCCTTTTTCCTCATGGGTGGTCTTAAGTGTAAAAGATGGGCAGGTCTCAGTTGAGTAAAATTCTAGTGCTTGTTGAACAATGTTTTCATTGAGTCAAGTACAGAAACTTGGAATCAAACATCATCCATAAAATTCACCTTGAAAGCTAGAGGTGTTTTAAGTATTTACATACATTGAAGCAAAGCTGCAGGGTAAATGCCATTATAGGTAACTTGAAGGGGTAGGATAGGTATCTGTGCGCTTTTGATAAGTTGGAAAGTATTCCAAGTAAGTGAGCCATTGGCTGATGGCCTAGAGAGACTTTGTGTATGGAAATTTTGAAGGATGGAATTTGTTATAATGGTATTCGACCTGCATTCAACTTCAATTTTGGACAAATCTAATTTTAGGCATAATTATGTTGCAGTGTAAACATAATATATTTATGTTACAAATTTAGAGAAACCCAAAAATTTGTTTGGTTCATAGAGGAGTACAATAAAAGAAAGCTATTGAATTTGCGGTTTAAGTTATAGAAACTTGGGTCAAATTTACCACATTTAATGACTTCAGAAGGTAGAGGTTTTCTCTTCCCCAGGATCTAAAACAGAATCATATACCTTTAAACTGTTGTCTTTATACTAATCATTCTCAGTTTGAAAGTTTGGTTCCCAATTCTAAAAGTAATAAAGAGTTCAAATTGTAAGGAATTTTAAAAGGCAGAAGAGTTTTCAGGAAAAGAAATCACTCTCTCCATTTTTCCCTCCCTCCCCCATATGTTTTATACTTAAAGATGTAATCATGATATTACTGTAAATAACAATGTTCTGCTTTTTTCATTGAATGCCATAACATAAGCATTTTTGTTCATTATAAACGCATTATTTTTAATGGTTCAATTGAACTTCATTATGTAAAATGAACCATGGTTTATGAAACCATTCCCTCATTTGTTGGGAGGCATGTTAGATTTGGGGGTCGGATGGGAGGGGCACTTTTTGCTATTATAGTTGGTAATGTTGAGGGAAACATTTTTACATGAGGTTTTTTGTTGTTGTTAATGTTGTAGGGTAGGTTAATCTGCAAGGATTTCTAATTAATAATGACAGATATGACAAGTTAAAGTGGAAATATCCATGTAATTAAGAATCTGAAGATACCAGTGTTTAAATTCTTGACGTTATTGTCCCTTTCGTCTTCTTTTTAGTCTCAATTTTTGGTTTGACCTTAGTCTTTTCATAATCTATATTCATCAGATAGTTCCTGATAAATCCTTGAAATATATTTTTTATATACTATAGATATTTTGAGTATTTCCTACTTTTTTGTTTTTTCTGACATTCTGTATTTTCAAAACTTGTCTATTTGATGATGATGGTGATTTCTTGCCCCTTTGTGTCCCATTTTATTGCCTAAGAAACAGTGAGGGAAGTGATATTTTCAGTGGTGTCTGTGGAGCCAACAGAAATAGCATGTGACTTTTTGGTTTTTTTGCTTTTAAAGAAAACTAGTGGATACAAAGCTATTTAATTTTATTTTACATTATATGCTATATTTTGTGATTTAAATTTGATTTTTTTATCCTACTGTAAATTCATCGTGACTAGCTAGTTGGGAGTTTGGGGGTTTTCATCGGGTTAAAATACTGTATAAAATCTTGTATACTTTAAATTTTTATGAGAATACACTTTCTATACTGAATTTTAGGATTAATAAAACATTTTAGATTTTCTTTAAGAAATCCCTTTCAGTCTTAATTAAGGATTGCTTGAAAACATGGTTCTAGATAGAGATGGCACTGTGGTTTCTAAAAAACTACCCCTTTGTGAGCATTTTCTGTGCTGCAGGCACTTTTTCTCTAGTAGGCTTAAAACACATAGATGATCTTACTTGATCTTCATAATAGTCAGGGGTTCCTATTCTGTAGGCAGGGAAACAACCTCGGAGACAGGCAGTGGAGTCTGATAAACCATGGTCTTCCTGACACCGGACCCCTTGCTGGCGTTCAGATGATTTTAAATGAAAAATACTTGAAAAAACAAAGACTTGGCGTTCTCCGTCCCCAGTGGCCTTACTCGGTGCCTCTCCCACATCAGAGGGCCTCTGAGGGGCCGTGACCGTGCTGAGCGCCTGTGCGGAGGGGGGCTGGTCAACGTGACTTAGGACGTTAGCTTACGCAGGTGAGACTCTCCTCTGACTTGAATGTAGAGAGGGTGCTTGGTGGGAATTAGACAGCTTGGCTCCTTTCTGTGTGCAGATTTCTTTTTAACAGGGCTCTTGGTCCGCTTAGTTCCCTCTTCTTCTTTAAAACCCCTTTCCCCAGTACAGTTGGGCGGCATATTTTAGGATTTCTCTAGTATTCAAGTTCCCCGAAATGGAATTATGTTATTTGGCATGCATGCTATTTGAGAATTGGAGTTTTTAAAATATTTTACAAAACCGATGCTGGGGAAATAGAAACAAAATCTCTGTGCAGCCTGGAAAAGTCTCTCCACGGGGGTGCAAGGGAAGAAAACAGTTTTATTGCTGAGTAAACATGGAGCCAGAATGTGATGGCATCACCGGTGAACCACTAAAGAGATGGCGAAGACAGACAGAAAGCTTGTTCTTTTATACACCTCAGTAGTTACAACCCATTGCATCCCCGTTGCCAGGATAAATTGCTAGTTTTTTATATCTTTATCACTGGAGGCAGGTTTTGCAATTTGGATCAGGTCACAGGTTAGGCCCCTCTCTTCCTAGGAAACTCGGAGATTGGGCGTTATCTTTCCTGATTACATTTCAGATTTGGCTCTCAGGTCCTTAAGGAGACATTCCTGAGCAGTGACAAGGACTCAAGTTTAAGGTTCACATCCATTTGGCAAGGACTGAGAAAGATTTCTGTTAAAAAAAAGAGAGAGAGAGAGAGAGGGAAGGAGTCTTTTCTATTTACTTTTAAGTGGGAGAATTAGCCTCTTAATTTCAATTTTGCCCTTACACCAACGACCATAGAAGCAACCCTATAAAGCTGTCACTTTGTATCCAGGGCCAGGGGTGCCTTGAGCGATTTAAGCTTGTTGGAGTTAAAATAATGCCTTGGATACATACCGTAGCACATTATGTTAAACAAAAAGTGTTAACTTCCGTGACTGAGAGTCTCTAAAAGAAAGGGTTTATTAGGCCATTGCTAGGGGAAGAAAAGACCTGTCTTGGGGCATAGCGTGGCTAGACAGAAGAGACAGCATGTTCCCCGTCCTGGCCTTTTGCAAGCATTTTTACACGTCAGGTAGTGGGGAGAAAGAGGCGAGCCCTTCTGAAGGAACTGACATTGGCTGTAGACAAAAGGGACAGGAGAGGGTGATGCGGAGCCACTTCCGGGGTAGCAGCGTCCAGGGAAGAAGTGTTGGACAGAGTCTTGGACAGGCTGTGCGCAAGTCTGGAAAGCTCAGGTGTAAATAAGGAGCTCAGGTTCCTGGGGTTCCATGGTGACTGGCTGTTCTCTCTTTAGAATAACCTGGGAAGTAGCCCCCTGGAAGTTAATCCGAAATTCCAGCGAAGGCCCAGGAGCGTGCAAGGTCTGTGAGAGCTGGCTCAGGGCTTGTCACGGGCCAGCCGTTCTTTTCTCTCTGTCTCGCGCTCTCGCTGCTGTAATTTTAATTTAGAACACCTCAGAATTGTTTTTCTGGTCAGTTACTATAAACTAAACTAAAAGCTCTTCAGTCATTTTTTAGTTTTCTCTGTTAGCTCACAGGGGTGCTTTTGCCCGTGTTTTAAGGTCACAGCGTTCATGTTGTTTTTCTTTTGTTCACTATTGGACTTTATGGTAGTTGTGCATTTGGCCTTCACAAGAGTAGGAGTACAATCGGGACATTAATATTTATAAAGTTAATAGTATCAGACTCTGTGACACATTACAAGAAAATGGATGAGTTAGAAGTTTTGTGTCACCAGGACGCTCTAGATGCCTTTCCACTTCAGACCAGAGGGCCCGTTGTGTGCGGTCGCGAGCCTCCGTGCGGAAGGGCGCAGCCATGTGCTGGGGGAGGTGCTGCCGTGCGCTAAGCTTGTGGGTTTGCACCGAAACGTGACAGAGCGGTGTGTGGGGTGTCTTTTTCAGAGTTCAAGGGGCCTATCAAACAGGAGTTTGCATGTTTGTAATTTAAGTTGTGGTCATCAGTTAAAATTAGAAAACACAACCGATTGTCTCTGTATTATGAACATAAAATAAGTTCTCATTATTCTTGGCATGTTAACTTTGTAATGTGTCCCTACAGGATTGGCTAGGGAAATAACCTGGATAACGCAGCAGTAAGAGTGGAGCGGCAATGAATTGTGAAGGGTTATCAGCGTACTATTTTGGTCATGGTGCTTCTAGAAAAGAGGTGAATGAATATGAAGTAGAAAAGAGGGAGTGAGGTTGGTGTATGAAATTCACCTCTTATTACTAGGGGGCGGTAGAGAAAGGAATTACAAGTCAGAGCATGAGGCGGCTTTAGGAAGCAGGAAAGACAGACTGCGAGACAGGGAGATGCACGCGTGCTCGTCTAAGGGATGATACTGACTTACCGTAGTGTTTAAGTGTTTTCAAAGCCAGATTTTACTGGGGGGAAAATGTAATTTACTACCAAGAAATCTCCCTTATGTCGGGTTGTACTAACAACTTTTTAAAATTTTCCTATTAGAACATAATAAATACAAATTTTAAAGGGCACCTCTTTCAGACATGTACTGTTTTCTTGACTCCCCATAGATAGAACTCAATTATCTTATCACGGATCTTATTCTGATAAGTTAAATATGAAAGTTTTGTTAAGTAGAAAATTTCTTAAAGTTGGCTTTTAAAAATGAGTTGCATGTTCTAAAATATTCTCTCTGATTGCTTTTAGGTTACCTAGGGTATGAATTAATACAGACTTGGAAACTGAAAGAACTTAGAATCAGCATTTTGAGGTAAATATGTACGTACTTAAATAGCGGTAAGGTTTCCCCATTCTGCTTTGTTAACTTACTAGCAAATAAACTTGCGTATGAAACGAGAAGGTTGAATCTCCACAGGAATGTTCTTTAAACAACTAGACTGGACTTAGATGAGTGAGAGGAGGCCACTGCCCATCTGGTCTTCCTGTGCTTCTGCTCCCAGAGGCACTGCCGTAAGTTAATGGGAACCGGTGTCAAACCCAGCAGTCGGGTGGTGATTAAATTGAGCTTTCATCTCAGTGCTTTGTGCTTCCTTAGTTTTCAATTTAGAATCTGTTAGGAGAACCACCCCTAAATTTACATTTCTCTACAATATTAACATTGGTGAAATATGTTCCTAAATTTTTTTATTCATAAATGAATTCTGTAAGAGCTTAGGGTGTGGATTTAACTGTTTTATGAATTTGTTTTTAATTTCAAGAAATTGAAATTGCTGATGCATTTTATACATGTACTGAAGACCTATGTCTAGGTGACTTGGGTTTTATAGCCAGGTTACCCCTTCTGTTGACCTTTATTATTTAGTGTGTGTGAATTTAGGAAATAACACACACTTACCCTTTTATTTTCTCATTTTCCTAGTTGCTATCTTTAGAGTTTTACTTTGTTTCAGAATTTATTTACTTTGTTTCATTTCCTTATATTCATTTTAGAGTCTTTTCTTGAACTTTTTTCTTTCCCCCACATCTCTTGGAATTAGACCTACGATTGTTCCTTTTCTTGTTCTTTGTTTTAGAATAACTTAGTGTCCTACAATAACCCAAATGTCTTTTGTTTAACATTTAATACAGAAACAATGGCCTTTAGTCAACGCTTCATATCAATGAGACGCTCTTATAGATGTATTTGTGTTCAGTTGAAGGGCAGGAGTGTTAAATTGGCTGTTTTTTGCGTTTGTTTTTAGAGCAGAAGCATGGGCATGCTGTGATTTCCCAATAAGCTGCTCTCACAATGTCACAGTGCAGCTCAGGCAGCAGCAACACAGAGGGCTCAGACATTAAAACGGTAAACCAGCCATTTATCCGGGGTGGGAAATGGAAAAGAGTTCATTTGAGTGCTGTCCTAAGTTGTTTCTGAGTGAATAATAATATAGAAGCTACGAAGCAACCTCGCCGATTCCATGAGTGTAGATTGCTTGACCAGAGTTAAGATCTGCGATTGAAAAACAGTCCTGTGTAGTCACCGTGGGCGCTGCTGAAGCAGCGACCTGTGGCAAGTTCCTTTGTGAACTGCACAACTTGTGCTTCCCAGCAGGGGCTCAGAGCTTTTCATAAAGGGCAAGCTAAGGAAGAAAGGACAAGTCTATTTCACCGTGCCAAAGAAAGTAAAAATTGGCAACATTACAGATTTTTCTGTTTTCACATTATTGGATTACCTGTCGAATTTTTAAATATTGAGTCTGCTTTCCCTCAGTGGGAAGTCTGTCACTGGGGCCAGTCACCGTATACGAAAAGAGAGAAAATCACCGGACCTGTCCGGCCTTACGGAAACTCTGACTGGGAGGGTTAAATTGCTGTCCTCCGTCCCCTCGCGCGCCCTCTCTTCGCGCCGCGCCCCGCACCCTTCACGGCTGGGAGGAATGGGGTGCGTGTGCATTTCCAGACCAAACAGAAAGGGTTTTTTTGGAGTGCCTGTGATTCTGTTCTATACGTTACTGTGTGGACACTCTTGAATCTCTGATGAGGTTCATCGGATGTGTATTTACTGAACTGCGTGTACTGCGCGTGTATGAAGGAACGTAAGAGCTGTGGAGAGTGCGACTGTGCATCTTGTATGTACGGAGCGCGAGTGCCAGTACAAGAATAGGGGGTGTGTGTGTCTCTGAACACGTGCAATACGGCAGGTGTTACAGGAGGCAGAGGGAGGCTGTTGGAAGGTTTTCCCGTCGCTCACGTGGACGTTGTTTTCGTCCCGCGGACCTGCTCGCGTGTGTGTCCCGTGCCAGCTGTGGCTGGCACGGTGCGTGATGCAGATGTGTGTGGGACGTACGGCTCCTGGGCTCAAGGAAAGCCTAGCCCGTTGGCCATGTTTGTTTACCCTTTGCAGCTCTTTACTTGGAAATAAGTTCAATTTTATGGAAAAGTTGCAAGATACGAATAGGACAAAGAGTATATCCACATTTGCCCCGTTTTGCCCCATTTCCTGTATCAGTTGCACACAGATGATGGATGTATCTATATGTACTTTCTTTTTCTGAACCATTTGAGAATAAGTTGCATATATCATGGCCCTTTACCACTAAATACTTCAGTGTATATTTTCTAAGAATAAGGTGTTCTCTAACACAGACCGTAACCACACTGCAGCTCCCAGCTCAGTGAGTTTAGCAGTGCACCTCTGTCGGTGGACTCTGTGTTGTGCCGTGCGGCACTGTTCTGCCGCACAGGGTCCAGTCAGATTAGTTCCTTCATTTAGTTGTCATGTCCCTTGATAGTCTTTAATCTGGAACATTTTCATAGTTTTTTTTTGGTTGTATTTTATGTATTTTGAAAAGTGCGGACTTCCCTTTTCAAAAACAGGACATGCTTCTCATTTGTTTTTGGACAGTTTTTCCCTAGAGTTACAATTATTGGTGTCATTGACACGAGAAGAAATAGTGGCATGGTGACCGTGGGGGTGGGGGGGTGTCGCTGGTTCTGGGCTGTGCCCGACGGAGGAAGGTGCGTTCGGGGATTGACACTGTTGTCCTCTTCTTTTCTCCCATCCTGCCCCAGGATTAGACTGGTTTCCTGGTACTTTCTCCCACGGCTGTGATTTGGGTCGGGCGAGGAGTGAGGGGTCAGGGGAAAGGATACATAACCCTGGACAGGAAGCGGCCTGCAGTAGGGAGGGAGAAGTACAGAGGGATCCCATGAATGCAGTCGGGCGGGAGGTGCCTGCAGGTCTCAGCCTTGGCCTTCACAGTGACCTGAATCTCAGGAAATTAGGTAAAATAGGTTTTCACTTTGGGTCCTTGGCAGCTGTGCTGAGTAAAAAGCTTGAATGATGCGCCTGAGGGTGTGTAACTTGTGGGCCTGCGGAACTGAGAAAAGTGAACGCTCCGCATGGGGGGAAAGGGATTGCTGCTGGGGCCCTGGTTCCGTGGAGAATGAGCAGATTGTCCCTTTGATCCAGGGAAAATAATGACTTGGGAGTTTTTTGTGCTGTGCTCTGGGATGCTTTGCGCGCCGTCTTCCTCCGAGGGGTAGTGCAAACGGTTGCGCTGTCTGGTCCCCAGATGGCGCCTGCCTCTCTGAGGCCCGGGACTCCCGCGGCCGGGTGCCCGCTCCATTTCCTGGGGACCGCACTTGTGTGAGCTGGATGGTGAATTCTGGTCCCCTGAATTAGTCTCTGCGGTCAGAATTTGCATCATGTTTACGCATAGAAGAGGACTACGCTTGAGACTTCTTGCTGGATTAGGTGCAAGGACTGAAGTCACTGTTTACCAGGTTGTAAATTTAATATGTCAGGAGATTCAAAGTTTTTGTCATCAAGCAACAAAGAGCTGTATTCTCTCTTTTCAGTTCCATAGGGCGATAACAATGAACACTCCAAGGGAGAAAGTTGCCTTCTCCGGGGCGAGTAAATTCTGCTGACAGGCAGCAGGGCTGGTCATGGACATTGCCATTGCCATATGATTTGAAACCCTCAAACTCTGTCTGCAGGTTAGGACTCTTAGAAAGACTCAGTGTTTGTCATTTTACGTAAATAATTTATCTTCAGGTAAGAAGACAGAAATGCACAAGACTATGCCTAGATACCGTAAAAAACCTGTCATTTCACAGAACGGCGTGTTTGTGTTAATTTATCTAGGATACGTATCATTTTAAAGATACGTATTTAAATAGTTGATCGTGTCTGCAAGGTGGTTGATTGAGAAAAGACCTGTGTTTGGTCTTTTGATGAAAGGATTAAATGTTGGCGGGCGCCGGAACCTGTCCTCTGTGCGGGCACCGTGCTAAGTGCCTTCCTGCGTTGTTTCATTATTTGGTCAGTAATAGCTTCATGGGCTTTACAAATAACATTTGAAACATATCTGTGTACATACTTACCTGTTTTATGTATACATATATTTAAAAAAGGAGTCCTACCACACATATGGACGCGGTTCTGTGTCAGTAAATACAGACGTGTGTAATCTCCGTGGATTCCAGGTATTTCAATACAGCCGTGCCGTCTTTGCTTGGCTGATTTTTTATTAATACATTTAAAGTTATTTCTTGTTCTTAGTAATAATGCAGCAAGAAATGTTCATGTACTTACATGTTTGTACAGTTGTCTAATTCTTTTAGACAAGCTTCTAGGGATAAGGTTGCTGGGTTGGAGAGAATAGAATGCTTGACTTTTAAAATGATCCTCTTTGATCAAGAAAAAGCTAAAATAGTTACAGGAAGACTTTGAAAGGCTCATAGGAGTGATATTCTGATGTTTCTCTTGTTTCTATGCTTTCTTTTGTTTTTAACCCTGCATGGTTGTGTAATGGTATTCTTTTTCCCTTTTGTAGTAAGCTGTGCTAGAACAAAAATGCAATGAAAGAAACACTGGATGAGTGAAAAGCCCTGCTTTGCAACCCCTCAGCATGGCAGGCCTGCAGCTCATGACCCCTGCTTCCTCACCAATGGGTCCTTTCTTTGGACTGCCATGGCAACAAGAAGCAATTCATGATAACATTTATACGCCAAGAAAATATCAGGTACTAATGAGAACACTAATACTGAAGCATTTTCACTAAAATGGAATAAATTAGCATATAGTTGACACAACTTATAAAACTCATTTACCTTTTCAAGCTTTCCTCTTCTGATTAATTTTCTCGTTCCAAATACCTTTGTTCTTAATAGTCCTTTTCTTTTCTAACATCTGCTGGGTAATTGGTTCGATAGTTTTATTTGTGAAGTTTTTTGTTTTTTTACCCCCTCTGAAAACATCACTGTTCCTTAATATCCATTTGGACATGTCTGTCCTCATGAGCTGGGTAAGAATTGAAATTGGTTTGAACAACTATGAACTGGCAGAACCACGGTTGCTGTAAATTTAGTCATTCGTATAATTCTAGAGAAGTATTCTGTCCGTGCAAAAATCTTTCTTAAATTGTAAATGCGTTTCCACACGTGTTTATGCAGCACAGCTATACATCACAGGCATTCTAATGCCTCTGGTTATTACTTGTATACACAGATGCAGAAAGTCTGCACATTTATGGGAGGGAGATTTTAGGAAACAGTGGAATTTCCTGAATTAAAACAAAATCCAATTTTCTGAATTTTGTACGTAGATAAGAGGTGTATCATCTCTTTTTCCACTGTGTTTCCAGGTTGAACTGCTTGAAGCAGCTCTGGACCGTAACACCATCGTCTGTTTGAACACTGGCTCAGGGAAGACGTTTATTGCAGTGCTACTCACTAAAGAGCTGTCCTATCAGATCAGGGGAGACTTCAACAGACATGGAAAAAGGACGGTGTTCCTGGTCAACTCTGGTAATAAAAAGTTACTCTGTCAAATTGCCTGCAGGAAACTGGATGAGATTTTATGGTTAAGCAGATTTTCTCGATGGGCATTCGGTTAAATTATCGAAAATGTTGTAAGTTTGACAAATAATGTGCTTGTTGAAGCTCTGAAAGAAGAAATATAATTTTGTTTTATTCCTTAACTACATGGTATTTCTCCTAAATGCTAGCCATTTTATTTCATAGGTGTTAAACTTTAGCTTTTTTTAAAAAATGTGATTGCATGTAATTCCCATTCTGCACTTCTTTTGAATGAATTACTATTGGAACATAATTTAAGTTGTGACTTAAATTATGGTTATTTTGTATTTGGTGTTTTTGCTTCACAAGATATGTCAATAGATGCTTGATTATGAGATAGGTAACTTTCTGGTTTATGATTTTGCTCTACCAGTTGTAGGAAGAAAATTACATGCTTCTTAATAGATAGTACGTTTAAAATACTGGTTTTTATGTGTTTGGGATTACATATTAAAATAAAAAGTATAAAATGTGAACCTGAGCTGCTAGGGCACTAATAACAACCATGTCATCCCTCTCCTTTTTTTGTATGATCTCAGCATGTGGTGTTATTTTTTTTGGTAACATTTATTTTTTAAAAGTTAACAAGTACATATAATAGGAACCTGAAAAACACAAGAAGCAAAGAACAAAGTCATCCATAACCACAAGCAGTTTACAGTTTGACATATCCTAAATCCCCTGTGTATCTGCACGGCTGAGCTTCCATTTTTGTGTAATTAAGATCGTAAAGTTATGAATCATGCTTTTCCACACACCATGAATATTTACCATTTCAGTGTCTCAAAACTATCTGAGTATTCTGACAACCAAGAATACACCACACTGACTAATCTGGAAGAAGAAAATGCCTTTCTAGGCAATAAAAATTTTGTAAAGGACAAAAACAGCAACAGACCCCCTAAATAAAGATATTGGCAAAGTTAGGATTAAAATACTACATTCCCTTCATGTTCATAGTTACGTTGTGACGATAACCGTTCCAGCATGTGATGGTCTTACGTGCTCTAAATACACACTCATCTCTATTGTTTCTTGGTGAAATGATCAGATTGTATTGAAGAAAACAAAACAGGCGGATCTGCAATAGTCGCCTTTCTAGGCCAGAAGTTACATTTTTAGGTTGGGGAGAATCAGCTATAAAGCAGGAAGGTGATTCACGGCCCCCTGAAGGGAGTGACCGAGGCCGGGAAGCGAGTCTAATGAGTGTGTTTTGGAAATACTGAACACATAGGTGGTTGGATATGATGCATAATAAAAAGGATTTTATGCCTGTCTCAGTTACTCGTACAGAGAACCAACTAGAGCCAACTTGTCATGTTTACATGGAGTTTTTGTTTGTAATCAGCAAACCAGGTTGCTCAGCAAGTGTCAGCTGTCAGAACTCATTCCGATCTCAAGGTTGGGGAATACTCAGACCTAGAAGTAAATGCATCTTGGACAAAAGAGAAATGGAACCAAGAGTTTACTAAGCACCAGGTATGACTTGTAGAGAAATTTCACTCTGTAAATCCCTGCACGCCCTTGATTTGGTTTATGAGATGACCTTAGCCTTGGCTGTCAGAATTGGACTTGAAATTATGAAAATTCTAGCTCCCTGTGCTTTGTCAGCCCAGAAACTTACTCTGCGTACTCTCTCTCACTGTGCATGCATCCTAAAGCCACATAGATTGCAAATTTATGTTGCTCTTGCTAGAAAAGAAACAGCTTTATCATGTGATTTACTTGCTTGGGGAAAAAGCGCAAATTCCACCTACCAATCTCCCACTTGCAGATAACCTGCTTTCAGAAAATTTACTCTTGAGTTAAATGTCTTGAAACGGGAGACATTTCGTGGTTGAGATCTTTGGGTCTTTAATGAGAGTTCCTCTAACTTACCGCCTCCACATGGCCAGCATGTGCTGAGGGCCTTTGGTGTGTTGGTGTTGGTGGCTCTGACGTGGTTAAGAGCTGCTCCCTAACCAGCCTGTAACAGTCTGCAAACAGTCTACTGGCATGTCTCCCACAGTGGGTTAGGTCCACATTTAAAGCTCTGAAACGGCCACGGAAAGATAAGCTATGAAAAGAACATTTAGTTTGTGTTATCTCCTAGAAAACCTTGTCAATTCAGTGGGGAAAAAAAGAAAAAAGTGTGAATTATTTTGTGATTTGATTAAATTGACAGGACTCACCAGACAAAATATGTCTGTAGGAAACTAAACACCTGAAGTAGATTTAAGAGATTTATCATTTAAAAAAAAAGCTGGTCTCCATTATCAAGAATTTCTTTTTTTGTAGTCTGTTTCATGTTTTCCTAACTCTGCTTCTTGGTTCTGAAGTATGAGCTTCCATACATTTAAAATTTTTGTTTTAATTATGACTAATGGATTTCTCAGTTCTCACCTGCAGTACAGTGGCTCCATAGTCTCCTTTTATAAAAGTGTATTCGGGTGGGTGAATGGCACATTTGTGTACTGATGTTGATTTTATTTTAGGTTCTCATTATGACTTGCTATGTCGCCTTGATTGTTTTGAAAAATGGTTACTTATCACTGTCAGACATTAACCTTTTGGTGTTTGATGAGTGTCATCTTGCAATCCTAGACCACCCCTACCGAGAAATTATGAAGGTAAATTTTTATATTTTACTGGTCTTAATAATTCAATTCAAATTACTGAGTATAAGCAGTGTTTTTGTATATCAAAAACAATAATATTAGTTACCAATTTTGAGAACTTGGTTTCAGTGTATAAATGAATTAATATTAAATTAATGTTCATTTATATCTATGCTCTATGATAAACTATAATGAATAATCTATAATCTAAATTTGTAATAAAATTTTAAACAGAAATGAATTACATAATCTGTCTTGGCATATTTAAATCTTCCTTTTTTGATAAACAGAGTTTTTAAACAAGCTACTGTAATTCTGTAAGTAATATTTTTAGTATTTGTCAGTCTTTTTGACATGTTTTAATATGGTGTTACCTCTTTTGTTACGGCCTTGCAAAATGAATTTCTTACTGCCAGTATCTTTTATTATGTTAGCTCTGTGAAAGTTGCCCATCATGCCCTCGTATTTTGGGACTAACTGCTTCCATTTTAAATGGGAAATGTGATCCAGAGGAATTAGAAGAAAAGATTCAGAAACTGGAGAAAATTCTCAAGAGCAATGCTGAAACTGCAACCGACTTGGTGGTCTTAGACAGGTATGCACTCAGGCTGTACTGGTGGGGTCAGATGAGTCAGAATTAATTTTAAGCCTCTAGTACCTTTCACAGTGCCTTGCAGATAGTACCCGTCTACGAGAAAACAGTGGCTGTTCTCAGGAATAAGCAAGACTAGCAGTTCTTTATCAGGACAGGTACTGGCGAGTGCAGGAATTTAACCTTGTTCCCACACAGTAGCAGATGGAGTTCCTTCTGCCTAAAGAGAGAATGTCACATCAACAGGTGCCCTTTGCATTTGCTGATAATTGACAAGGACTGGGAACGTGGCAGTATATTCATGTCCTTCTCCATCGATGTGTGTGCTTTGTTTTTCTGACCTAAGTGTCTCATGTGATGGTTTGAAAAGAGCTTTATCTAGAGAATTTAGTATTTTACAATATGCTTTAAAATAATTGGAAACACTTTGAAAATGGGTGTGAATTTCTGAGAAAGATGTTCATGATTTCTCAGTTTGTCTCTTTGAGGAGGTTGCTATTTTGAGTTTTATTCACACACACACACACACACACACACAACATGCTTTTTGATTTAAGTTCATGGAAGGGAGTCTGTATAAATTAGGTTTTAAAATAAATGTAACTAATCCAATTCATGTTAAAATACCTTTATATCCTTGTAAGATACAGTCTTTAACAAGGCTAAAGATTACCAAGTGGAGCAGTTAAAATAAATGGAGAAGAGCAATTTCTTAGGTTATGGATTTGAATCAAAGATGGGTTTTGAATACCGGCTCCACTAATTGTAAGCTCTGTGACTTCAAGTGAGTCATTTACTGTTCCTGAATCGATAAAATGGCATTGACTGTGGTTTCAGGGAATTCTTTGCTGATTAATTACATTGACACCTAGAAAACAATTTGCAGTGTGTCTGTCATACAGTAGAATTTTGGAAAAGTTCTCTGTGTAGAATGAGAAGAAAAGGAAATGTTTCAGGTTAGGGAATTTAGGTATCCAAATGCTGTATGAACTACAGATCTCATAGCCTTTAGGACATGGTACTTTTGACTTTTGAGCCAAAACGATCCATGATATAGCAGTGAAGGGTTTACTTTTGTTTTTATTCGACCTGAATTAGATTGGTAGGCTGTACTACTGAAATCTTCAAAAGCAATAGAAGTAGTAGAGCATTTAAGTAAAACTGACAAGTAATCTGTTGAATTTGGCATTACCTAGTTCTCTAAATGTGGCTCTTTGGTTAAGTATAGATTATGGTTGAGAAGAATAAAAACGGCAGTATTAAATATGTCTTTATTTCTTTTCCTTAATTATTGTATGTGCTTTTAGAATAATACGTGCCATTCTGGTGGTTATAGTTTATGAAACGCATGAAAGATCCAAGGAATGACATTGAAATTGATCGAAAGTGGAAGGGAGCTTTCCTATGTCAGGAGACATTAAAAACACATTAAAAACAAAGGTGACATTTGCAAATGCTAAAAGTTTCAAATAGTATGGAAATGGGTCAATTTAATGATAACACTGTCTCCCCATGATCTGCCTGTGTCACTGATTTCTCTCCTGAGAAGTAATCATTGTTGGGTTTCTTGAGTATTTCGACCAACATTGTTCTAAGGGGATAAAAGATGAAGGTCTAAACCTAAAAAATGAAACAAAAAACCTGGGATAATAATGGATTCACAGAATTCTTTGATTGTCAGCTTTTGGCGGCTGCCTCCGGAGCCCTGGCAGGCACACAGTGTGGGCACCGGGGGCAGGGCGGGGGGGGCACCGCTTCAGCAGGGCTCGTGAGTCTGCCTGATACCCCAGCAGGCGCACAAACCGAACGTGGGAGGTTTCTTTTTTGGTTTAGATATGTAGTGAGTCATAATGCAGTAGTGAATTTATTGTAGTATCGACAACTTTTGTTTCTGATGTTCAAGATACACTTCTCAGCCATACGAGATTGTGGTAGACTGTGGACCATTTATGGACAGAAGTGGGCTTTATGAAAGACTGCTGATGGAATTAGAAGAAGCACTTAATTTTATCAATGACTGTAACATATCTGTACATTCAAAAGAAAGAGACTCTACTTTAATTTCTAAACAGGTAAGTGCTGTTTGTACAAAGTAAGTACAGGAAGTATAATAAAAGCCTTTTGTTTTAGTATTTACATGAAAATATGCTTCTAATGAGGCTATCTTCTATACATTTTCATTTAAGGCCTTACCTTCTTTCTCTTTGGACATTTTTTATTAAACATGTATTGGGTTGAGTTTACTACCTGCTACCGGACAGACATTTCCATTAACTGTAGACCTTCCTGATTTAAGAGATGACTTAGGATTTTTCTCATGGCTATTTAAGTCAAAGGAGTGAGTCCAGTTTTTTTTTTTTTTTCCTCCTTGGTCAGATGGGTTAGTTCCTGTTCAAACCTTTGGTTAAACAGCTTCTTCTGAGATAGCCTTATATGAACTGGATATGAGCTCGTTGTCCCCCAGTGGGATCCAGCTTTGAGAAGAGATCCCATAAGATAGTGGTTCTCAAAGTCTGGATCCCCCTGGAACTTATTAGACATGCAAATTACGGGCCCACCCTTGACCTGCTGAATCTGAAGCTCTGGGGCTGGGGTCCATCCAGCTGAGGTTTGACAAACCCTCCAGTTGTCTTGATGCATTAAAACTTGAGAACTTGTTCTAGGACTTTGCAGCCATTTGTGAATGTTAACACTGTTGAATCTGCATTTTAATTTCTTTCTCTCGCAGATTTTTTCTGAAGCAGCAATGCCCAGACTCTCCTCAGCCCTTGCATTTTCATTAAGTCTCTGTTGAGCCCAGTGGGCCTTTTACTTGTCTGCAGAAGATTCCTCAGTTACTCGCTATGGATTTATACTCTGCTCTGAGCTAGGGTTGTAAGGTGTAGTTCTCTGGGCATAAAGTTAAAGGCAAATTGCTTGCTCTTTGATACCTAAAATAAAATGACTGCAGTGGAATTCCTTGCATAGTTACCTGGAAGTCCATGGCTCATTTGTACTTCTGACTAATCACAGATCTAAAATTGAGTTTTATTATCCTTTTACAGTTGCATCTTTTAATTTCTATTATTTGGTTATTTTTGCTGGGGAAAACAAAAAAATCGTTCTGGACATAATAGGTGTGAAAAAGTAGAGCTTGAAAAGACCACTGGCTCCTTCCCCCACCCCCAACCTTAGGGAATTAACCTTAGTGTTTATATTAGTGGTATTAGTGGGGTGAGTTTATTTTGAAGGGGCGGTCTGAAGACAACTTGAACCCCAGTTAAACCCCATAGGAAAATGCGACTGGATTGTTGTTTAGCGTTTGGCTCTTCACATTCTTTCGTAGATACTGTCAGACTGTCGTGCAGTGTTGGCAGTTCTGGGACCCTGGTGTGCGGATAAAGTAGCTGGAATGATGGTAAGAGAGCTGCAGAAATACATCAAACATGAACAAGAGGAGCTGCACAGGAAATTTCTATTGTTTACAGACACTTTCCTACGGAAAATACATGCACTATGTGAAGAGCACTTCTCACCTGCCTCACTTGACCTGAAATTTGTAACTCCTAAAGTGATAAAACTGCTTGAAATCCTGCGCAAATATAAACCATATGAGCGACAGCAGTTTGAAAGTGTTGAGTGGTACAATAATAGGAACCAGGATAATTATGTGTCTTGGAGTGATTCTGAAGATGATGATGAGGATGAAGAAATTGAAGAAAAGGAGAAGCCAGAGACAAATTTTCCTTCTCCATTTACCAATATTTTATGTGGAATTATTTTTGTGGAAAGAAGATACACAGCAGTTGTCTTAAACAGGTAAATCTCTAAGATTAACGTTTTCCCTGTGGCAGAACAAAGCGGCCTTTTGTTTTGCGATCGGCCTGGCAGGGCCTGAAGAGCCGGTGGAAGGGCGACGGAGGCGGCCCCTGGCCCCTCGCGGTGCGGTTAACGTGCGGCGGGTGCCACACCGGCGGGCTGCGGGGACGTCGGTCCCGAGGGTGCGGCAGGCTTCCCGAAAGGCCGGGTTTCCCACGACTGAGATTTTTTTCTTAAAGGCTACTAACCTATTTGAATCCAGCGAACAGAGAGAGCAAGTGAGAAAAATCAGGTTAAAGTAAAGCATCCCACATGTGTTGAATTCAGCTGTTAATTCAGTTCGGATATTTATTGTGCCGTGGCGATGTCTCAGGCGCTGTGTTGAGCATTCCACAGCGAGCTCTCTCCTGAAGACAGTCTTTGGATGAATTTTTATCACCGGGTATTTGTGGCTGATTTTTTTATGTTAGCTTTTTCTCCCCTTAACAAATGTTGATTCAAGTTTGCAAGTTTGCAGTGGAAACATTTAGAACCACTGGCTTCACAGTTTGGATTGGTTCAGAGACTATATATTAAATGTTCTGAATCAGGAGAGAATAAAACATTAGGGAAGAGTTTGGAAACTTTTGGCAAAGGAGACAGTGAATCCAAGTTAGGCTGTGGATCCCCACCCTCCTTTTCTTCAGCGACAGTTTATCTTTCTGGAACACAGACCCTGACAAGGAGATGGACTTGAAATTTGTGTCAGATTGTCACCTGATGACTAGTTCTTTGGTTTGTCGATAGATGCTTTGTTATCTGTAAGGGCCAAAAAGGGGGGGTGGGGTGGGGGGTTTATTTTGTACTTCAGGCAAAATCTACTTTTCTGTGAGATCCATTAATTGGCCAGAGTTGATCCCTAAGAGCCTTTTCTGCAAGTAGTGATCTCCGAGGAGAAATTAAGCTATGTTTCCTGAGGTAATTTGGGATTTTTTTCCCCCCTAAACTGCTTCTGACTGGTTTGGGATTTTTGAAAACTTACTTGAGTAAGGAGAAATTGGACTCTGGGGTCGTCATCTGGTGGTTTTCAGTCTGGTAATTTTCATAGTCATTGGGCCTGATCCTTGTGATGAATAGAAAGTAAAATAACTTTAGGTACTGAATTACACTGAAATCAGAAGTTTAAGGTTGGAAAGGGACTTCACCGACTATCTAATCCAGCCCACTTATTTTTATAAAAAAGAGAAGGGGCCTCAGGAGGAAAAGTGGTGTGCTCCCAGCTAAATTGCTAGTTGGTGACAGAGACGCCGCGGGAATCCTGCTGTCCCCCTCGGGGCCCCAGCCCCTCCTGCAGCCCGGAGCCTTGGCGCACACCGGCGCCTTGGGCCGGGAGGGCTGCCCCCGGGAGTGGGGGGCTTGCATCGGGCGCAGCTCTCGGCCTGGCTGCAGACCTGCTCCCCGCCCCTGCGGGACGGTGCAGGAATTCAGTGCCCTTTCTGGGGCTTGGAGAGAAGAAACGGGGTCTCTTTTTTTTTTTTCCTTGCCACTCTTCTCTGCATGTGTTTTTAACTGTAGGGATGGGCCAGTTTTCATTGCAGGAGTATTAATTAGCCTGAAAAGGTTCTTCAAAAATCAGTCAGTTACTTCCTATTGACTTTGAGGATCAGATGAATTGTGATCAACTCTCATAAAACGGGGCTGGAATTTAGTGTTGGATGATGAATCAGGAGCGGTTTGAGGGTTGACTTTATGGGCAGCTAATTAAATATACAATAGAGGTCTTGTTCCAGTTAGCTTTTTAATAAGCTTAGAAAAACTTCCTGAAATCCAGAATCCAGATTCTTTCCTTCCATCAACTTAATGGGAGGAAAAACCCCTTCTTCAGTGAACAGTTTCATGGGAGTATGAGCTATTGTAATACATGGGCAGTTTTCTCCTCTGCTAATTAAAAAAATAAACCACATCTCCTTCTGTATACAGTGTGGGTTATGTGTACAGTCTTACGTTCATAGTTTCCCTTTTGCCATATATATACAGTTCATAATGTATCTTTATATATGTATTTTTCTATTTAACATCACTTCATGAGAGGGAAAGGTAGATATGTTTACTATATTACAGATGAGGAAATGAAGACTCAGTTTGTGACTCTCCCAAAATAACGCTGATACGAAGTGGCAGAAAACAGCTCCCATTCTCTAAGTCTAGTGCTCTTTTCACTGTGTGATTCACTAGAATTACGTGACATTGGGGTTGGACAAACCTGGGTTTATGTTACTCCCCACCCCCACTCTGCATTCTTCTAACAACTTTTTGTTTACAGAAAAATTGCAAACATAGTGCAGAGTTTCCCTGTACCCCTCCCCTGGTACCCCCATCTCTTAGCAACATCTTATGTTATCATGGTATGCTTATCACAACCAAGAAATGGATGTTGATGTATTACTATTAACTAAATTCCAGACTTCACTTGAATATCACCAATTTCCCCATTAATATCCTCTTTTTTCAGTATATGTGCTGCCAAAGCGAGCACTACTATCCTCTTTATAATCCAAGGCACCATATTGCATTTAGTTATTATGTTTCCCTCATCTCTGGTTTGTTACAGTTTGTCAGGCTTTCCTTGTTTTTGATAACCTTGACAGTCTTGAGGAGTACTGGTCAGGATTTTGTAGAAAGCCTCTCAATTTGAATTGGGTGTTTTTCTCAGTATTAAACTGGAGTTTTAGGATTTGGAATAATACTACAGAGATGAAGTGCCCTTTTCTTCACATTATATCAAGGGATTCATGATATCAACATGAAGCATCACTGGTGATATTATTACATGGTTATGCTAGCGTTTGCCAGTTTTCTCCAGTATAGTTATTATTTTGCCATTTTCTTCCCTTTAGTCTTTAGAAGCTGGTCACCAAGCCTAGTTTATCCTCGGAGGGCAGGGTTGAGCTCCCTTCCTGGGGAGGGGCGTATCTACGTATAGTATTGGAATTCTTCTGTAAGGAAAACATGACTCTCTTATCCTGTGGACCTACTTATGTTTATTGAATCAAGTTCTTTTATCAGGATGAACTCATGTTTGTTTATTTTATGCTCCGGGTTGTAAGCCAGTACTAGGTGATTTATCTTGTTCACGGTGTTCTGCGCCTTTGAGGGTGGCTGCTGTGCTCCGTAGCGGTGCCCTCCCCGTGTCCGGGGCACTGCCGCATCCGCTGGCGCTCCGGCGCGCCTGGGCTCCTGTGCTTTTCCTGCTGCAGGACTGCGGTTCCTCCTAGGAGCTCTGGTTCTATTTCTACCCACTTTTTATTTGTATATTTTGTGAGAGTTATTTAACTTTTTAAAGCTTCGGTCTCTTCACCTGTAAAATAGTAACAATAGCTTCCTCTCCTATTGGATTTTTAATAAGCAACGTTGTATGTAAAAATGTCTGTTTTCTCACCTGAAACACAGTACGTGCTAATTTTTCATGTTCTTTGTGCATTTGGGGAATACATTATCCATGTATTGTAACTATCAGTGGGAGGGGGGTTTTTTTGGTAAGATTATAAAGGGGTCACATTTGATTTTCTTACAATGATAAAAAAATATAAGGAGTACGGATATTATTAAAGGTATTGCTGAGAACATACTTCAATACCTGGCAGACATTTCAGAGGATGTGCTTGCGTCTTTGAATTTTTTCCCCTTATGGCTGTCTGTGAATTAGGTTTAGTCAGATCACAATTTTCAATAGTATGACTAGATCTGTCCAGAAAAAGTCCAGCCATTGCTAATATAACAAAAATGGTTTGTGCGACATCAGTGTAACCTGGTGGCCAAGCAGAGCAGAGTGGAATGCGCATGCGAGAACAGTGATGGCTTCACTGTACTAGTCAGTGGGGGCAGTACATTGCATATGCACCAAGTTTTGCGTTAAGCTTGAACATTCCTCCTCGGAAACTATTCAGGTGATTCAGGTTTTCGGGGACGATGCAATGAGTGCAGCGCAAATAAAAATGTGGCACAAACCCTTGAAAGGTGGTTGAGAATCCGGTGAAAGTCACTCATGTTCTGGAAGGCCCGCGATAAACAGAACACCTGAGCATGTTGAACGTGTATGGGCTGCAGTCAACAAAGATCAGAGAAGTGTGAAGTCCCAAGGTGTCTGCTTTGAAGGAGACTGAGGCATCATTGCTCCATGTACAACATTTCTTGTATCTTGCATCTTCTTCAATAAATGTCCCCATTCGGCATAGCGCTTAGCTGGATACTTTCCAGACAGGCCCCGCGCACACCCCTGTTTCGGAGCCTGGCGTGCCTCTCTCCTTTCTGGGGCCGTGCTGCTTCCTGTGTGATTGGGCAGGCACGGTGCCTTTGCGCACAGCCTCACCCGGGATCCGTGCCAGCTCTGCCGACTTAGGTACGGAGAGGGAGGACAAGCATCCAGAAACTCCTCGTTTTGACAATAATTATGCCTGCTGAAGATGATACGACAGTAATGATCTTTAAGTTTTATGTTGTTAGTAGTTCATGTTCATGGAATTTTACAAAAATACTGGTTTCTGATGGATTCGAAATTAGAAAAAAACAATAACCAGTTCACTACAGATAGTTTTGGAAGCTCTGTGGCGGACAGCATTTATTTTGCACAGCTTGCTTGTGGAATAAGTCACATGAACTCAGGGTGAGAGTCAAAAGAAGCAAATGAGGCATCGTCACCCAGCCCTCTGGTGCCCTGGCCTCCCCGGCAGCGCGCCTCGCTCACAGGAGCTCCCTGTGGCAGCCGGCCGGCTGGCGCGCATTCCCGGGGGCCGCGGCTCTGTCCTGGGCGCGGGGTTGCCATCCCTTCAACTCATCGGAGAGGGAGATGAGCTTTTTCTCTCTGTGTGTCATTAGCCTAGGTGAATAGCCTTTAATTGCTGCTTACAAGAGATTTTGGTTATTAATGTGCACATGGTCTCTTCTGTTCTCTGCACTACTGATGTGAGTTTCACGGAGGAGAAATAAATTTTCTCTTAGTGCCTCCGTTTCTCAGCTAATTAAAGTCTGCCAGGCCAATCAGTTTGGTAAAGTGAAATACAGCCTTTGCCTAATGAGTAGCTTGAAGTGCGTTGTCGCAGCCTCTGTTGCATTCACATTGATGCTTACTTACATAGACGAAAATTTGGAAGCACATAGTTCTAAGATAATTTCATATTTTAGATTTTGGGTCATGCTCTTTGTTTGCATGTGGCACTGCTTTTTGTCCCACATGTCTTAGACTCATTACAATAACTAAACAAAGCTTCGAACATATTAAGGAAGTTCCTGATTCTGAACATTTTAAATACTTGAATTGTAGACAGGCTTTCAGATTAACCTGGACAAGCCGGGGTTTTGCTGACTTGGAGGCAGGAGGATATTTTAGATGGCCACTCAAGGTTTCTTCCAGCTCTTTGATATTAGTCTGTTTCATGTATTTATAAAAGAAAAAAAAAAGAATGGTTTGACTTAAAAATGCAATTTTCTATTAGGAATTTATACTATGTTGTAGGACTTCAGAAGGACCATATGGAATCACTTATGTCAGGTGTGGAACCATTTATCCTGTGTGCCGAGTTTTTGAATGTGGATATTTCCAAAATAGCTGTAATGGCAACACTAACTGTTAACCTTCTGCACCGGGTAACACGATCTCCTCCTGGAGCCCTTTTCCGTTTCTTAGCCAGAAGGCCAGCTCTAGGTGCCGAGCACAGTGGGTTAACGCAGAGGAGCGGGCGGGGAGGGGGAGCTCCGCAGTCTTGCTCTTTCATCAGAGGGTGGGACTGGCCCCTGCGTTGTTGTGCCCCAGTCTGGTGGGTGTCGGTCGTGCAGAGCTGCGATCAGTGCCGGGACAGGAAGGCGTTGGGGCTGCAGCTGCTTATCATAGACGCAGGCCGCCCTTTCCCCGGAGCCCGGCTTGCAGTGGTACCAGGCGTTGGGGTAAGACTGAAAGAACTAACAGCCTGCCCGTTGCGCACAGCTGGAGCTCTCCTTGCTCGCACAGGGAGATGAGGTCTCCTTTGCTGTGGAATTTCTCTCTTTGGTGGCAGGGTGTGTGGTTCTTCCTCTGAACGCGAGGCCTCGGAGATGAGGCATGGCTGCCGCCACAGGTCCTGCCTGCTCTTGGACAGGCTTGTGAGGCCTACAGCCAAGGAGGAGGAGGAGGAGTTCCCGTTTCTCTCCGCCTGGCTCTGTCCCCTCCTGGGCCACATTTCTATCAAGTCATTGCTGCCCAATTAGGAAGCTGGGGACACTGTGACCATTCTGTTTGTCTGTGTAAAGCGCCCCTGTATTTGGTGTTATAAGCGTTGGGTTCATAGACTGCTCGGTGAGGGGTGGCAGTGATTTCTGTTTAAGCTGCTTGGGGAAAAAAATACAAGATCATTTTGTTAGGTATATTGGCAAAAAAACACATGCATTTCCATTTTAAGGGGGACTTCCCAAACAAGGTCTCAGTTTTTTTCCCTCACCAATGCTTAACTTCAAAATGTATATAATTTTCTTAGATTGATAAAGGAAGCTGGCAAACAAGATCCAGAGCTGGCTTACATCAGCAGCAATTTTATAACTGGACATGGCATCGGAAAGAATCAGCCTCGTAACAAACAGATGGAAGCAGAATTCAGAAAACAGGAAGAGGTAACTTAAGTTAAAATCATCATACAATGACAGTTTTGAGAACATAAGCAGGCATACTCTGCCCATAGGAACTCCCTTTCTTCATAATTCTTCCACGTTTCTTGTAATAGAGAGTACTTCTCCATAATTAGAGTAGCTGTCTCCTCTGAGGTAGCTGGATAGTGATTCATAAGTTCAGGAGGGAACTGCTGTCTGGTTAGTCCGTTTTGTCTCTTAATTGCTATCAGCCGTTTCATTTTCCTTTATCAACCTGGTGGCCGTCAAGTACATTTCATGGGCAAACAGCACGTGTAGTCATGGCTCCTGCTGACTCCAGGTGACTCTGAAGCAACAAATGGAAGTTTTTCCTAGAAACGCTTTTGTTTTGCTTCCCATCAAGATTTTGACTTTGTTTGTTTTCATGCTTTTTAATACTTTAATACAGAAAACAGCATTCTGAAGATGCAGAAATCTAATACAGTGTTCTGGCTCACAAACAAAAACTTTTTCGTTGGAGTTTGTTACTTAACTTAAAAGTAGCAGAATAATTCACGTTGATGTCATATCCTACGTCATAGCTTTTCGATAATACTCCTAGGTTGGGGAGCCCAATAGCCAGAGTCTGACAGATCTGTCTAAAACCCAGTTTATGTTGTTATTTATTCTGGATTGGGAAGTAATGTTATTTTAAATTTAGTAAAAAAGAAGTTTTCACTTTATTTTTTAATTAATTCTGATTTCTGTGATTGAAAGTTTCCCAAGATTCCAGAAAAATAAATAATGCCTTATAATTTTAATTCCAACTGATTTAGGGATTTCAGCGAATTTTGACATGTTTGAGGGAATGTTAGCCCAATCTCACAGACATGCGACATCATTGCAGAGGGTCAGAATGTCAGCAGGACTCAAGAAGTGGATTCATTTGTTCACTTTGTTGGCTAAATTCTTTTGTGGAGATTGAAGAAGCCCACCCCTTCAGCCTGAAGGCTGTCTGCTATTTGTACATGGACACTTCCGTATAGTTAAAAGGCACTTTGATTTTTCAAGTCGGACTCAGTTGAAAACTGTTTTTTCACCCGTGTGTTCATGCATCTTGAGTTTTGTTTGATGTCATCTTCTTTAGCCTGTCCTAAAAAATCTAGTGTGCCCGGAGTATGTGTCAGAAGTAACAGCTGTCACTTTTTTTTAGTTTAATTATTTTTTAATTGTTCAATTACTTTGTCACTTTTACAACATTGTTTTCTTTGGAAAATTCCTTAAAATTGCTTTTATTGGTGGATTTTTTTTTTCAGGTACTTAGAAAATTTCGAGCTCATGAGACCAACCTGCTTATTGCAACAAGTATCGTGGAAGAGGGCGTTGACATACCAAAATGCAACTTGGTGGTCCGTTTCGATTTGCCCACAGAGTATCGCTCCTATGTTCAGTCCAAGGGAAGAGCCAGGGCACCGATCTCCAATTATATAATGTTAGCAGATACGGACAAAATAAAAAGTTTTGAAGAAGACCTGAAAACATACAAAGCTATTGAAAAGGTAAGATCCAAAAATCAACACGGTATCTTTGTTATTTTTTACGTACATAGAAATTAAGTGTATCTACAGAGAATAGTCTCAATAGACATGTACAATGTGCGCATTATAAGACGTTGAACTTCATCACAGAGGGCTGGGAGTATTTATAAAATGTTTGAAACCTCACAGTAAACTAAAGTAGCGAAATGGACAGAAGGGTTATTGGGGGACACCGCCTGCGAGGCGCCCTGTTAGCGCGGACAGGGTGGTAACCGTTAACTGGCTGTATCGGGGGAGGGGGTCTGACATGGTGACGTAGCTCCTGCGCTGATGGAAGGCTGGTGACGACGGGTGTGTGCGTGTAGGAGGGCGCGGCGCCAGCCCCTGCACCTGTGTCATGAGAGCCACTGTGAGATGGACGCCGGGAGGGAAGCACTGGGAGAGGGTTTCTGCAGCAGGTGACTTTGGAGGATTGGAGTGCATTTAATAGAGGTTTTACACTGAAGAAACTTCTCTAGGTACAGAGGTGGAGAACCCACATATGGCAAAGAAGGTGTGTGTTCTCATCACAAATTCTGTTTATAAAACATTCAGATCTTGAGAAACAAATGTTCCAAGTCAGTTGATACTGGTGAGACCGACATTGAGCCTGTTGTGGATGACGACGACGTTTTCCCACCTTACGTGCTGAGGCCCGATGATGGAGGCCCACGAGTCACAATTAACACGGCCATTGGACACATCAATAGGTATGGTATGAACTTGTTTGCATGGACTACCTAAGAGTATTGCAAGATTTAAGTCTAAACCTGTAAGTGTTGCATTATTGTTTACCTTTTGTAAACAATCACCAATCTTTTCATTCATGGCTTATAATATTTTGATAAGAGGAAGGAAAGTTGTTTTTTTTCCATTCATTCTTTTTGGTCAAGAGGCACAAGGAGTATTGTACGGTTCTCATTGAGAGGGTTGACTTAAGGAAGGCATGCGTATTTTAATTAGATTTAATTTTGCAGTACTCACTAATACTTTTCTGAATTCTGAATTTATTGTGCCGTGTCACAAATGTTGGGAGATACTGCATTTTTCATCAGCAACGATTTAAGATGATGATGAATTGATTTTTCAGTATGTTCTAATTTGCTTTGTCCTGTGTTGGCAATGACATTTTTAAGAACTAAGAAAAGCAGATATGTACCTAGGTTATGTATCAGGATAGAGAGGCAAAATACAGCAGCAGCAAGCATGAGTTTTTCTTTTTAACTTTTTATTTGAAAACAATTTCAAAGTTTAAAATGTTGCAAGAATTCCACGTGGAACTCCCATATACCCTTCACCCAGGGAAACCCATTCAAGTTTCACGAGAATGTTCTTTGTAGTGAAAGAATCCCGTCCAGGATCATGGCTTGTATCTGTTTTTCTCATCATCTCTGGTCTCCTTCAGCCTGGAACTATTCTTCAGTCTTTCCCTGACTTTAATGACCTTGAAGCTTTTGAAGATTTGCAGGGCCAGTCACTCGGTGGCCTGTCTCTCACTTCGGGTTTATCTGATATTTATGACGATTAGACCCAGGTTACACACTCTTGGCCAGCGGGTCTTCTCATCTCATTTCATCAGGCACACTCGATGTCAGTCTGTGCTCTTACTGGCGGCGGTGACTTTGATCGCTTACGTGAAGTCTTCTTGCTTTTGCTGCTATAAAATTACCTTTCCCACTTTACAATTAGTGACTTTTCATGGAGAGAGACTACATAAAATCAATCCTTATTCCCAGTTTCACCCATTACCTTAAGAAACTATTGATATTTCTTGCCTAAATTGATTATTACTGTGATTTCTGTTGAATGGTGGTTTTCTCATTCCATTTTTCCTTTCTGCATTTATTAGTTGGCCTCCTACCGTAAGGAAGAGCTTTCTCTTATCATCCAATGTGAATAAACAGACTCCTGTTTTATTCAAGGGGTTATTATCTATTATTTGTTTCACTGTTAAACTTCTGGCCTTTGGGAGCCTCTTCAAGCTAAGCCGCCTTGTCTCTTCAATGTGCCACTGTCACTCTCCGGGCGCTCTCTTATGGCGCACCAGTGAGTTTGAGACTGAACTCACACTCTCACTGCCCTGGGCCGCACCCTGGCTCCACAGGGGCCCGGCTCCTTCCAGGGGAGGAGGAGTGATGTTTGCAGACAAAGAGCTGAACGCTAGGTGCGCCCCTTGCCGCTGGAGGACTGCGGCTGCCAGGCTCTTCAGTAGGCGCAGCTGGAAAGTGCATTCCTGCACGTGCATGTGTGCATATTCACATCGGCATTGGCATCTGTGTTTCTGTACTGACTCTTGATCTGTGGGCTCCCTCCATTTTTCGTGTGACAGCAGAGAGTCCATTCTAGTTTTCCTCTTCTCCCGTCTTTGTTCCCGGCTCCCTCGGCAGTGAGAAGTAGGGTTCCTGTGGTCTTCACAGGGTTTTGTGTCCAGCCTCCCTGTGTGCAGCCAGCGCCTCCGCGCTGCAGGGCTGCCATCATGTTTGCTTGCCCTCACCGCCAGGCTCCGCCCTGCCTCCCGTGAGCTGGCTGCTGGCGCTGCAGCGGCGCTGCCCCTGTGCTGGGGGGTGGGCTGGCCCTCGGCCTCCTCGGTCAGTGCCGGCTGCCCTTCCGCTCTCCGCTCCTGCCTTCTGTGCACGGGCCCCGGCGGGGCTGACAGGTGTGTGGCTGTGTTCTCATAACAGATTCAGAACAGCATTTTCTGCACTGTCTAGCGTGGTAGTCACTAGATGGATGTGGCTATGTAAATTCAAATTTCGATTTTAATTAAAATGAAATAAAGTAAAAAGTTCCCTAGCTGCCTGCTCCACATTGCAGGGACTCAGTGGCTACCCTGTTGGACAGTGCATATACAGAACGTTATCGCAGAAGGTTCTGCTAGACAGCCCTGTCTCATCTCATTGAGAGTTTGAAGCAGTGAACCTCCAATCTGCATGTGAATACCAATCCAGTAGAGGGGAAGAGGGACGTAAGAAATCAAACTTGAGGATGTAAATATCAGTACAGATTTTTTTCATCAGCTTCTCAGTTGTACATTGAGCATCCGAATTTCTTTTTCTTCACAGATACTGTGCTAGATTACCAAGTGACCCGTTTACTCATCTAGCTCCTAAATGTAGAACCCGAGAGTTGCCTGACGGTACATTCTATTCAACGCTTTATCTGCCAATTAACTCACCTCTTCGAGCCTCCATTGTTGTAAGTTTAGAAAAAGAAACAATTGTGTGTTTAACATAAACCATTAATGGACTTTTCCCCCCAGCTTCTCTAAGCCTATGAGGTTTATAGGTAAATACGGCTTTACATTTACTTTGAAAAGTAGATATATAAATCTCTTTTGTAATCAACTACATGCTCAAATTTTTAGTAGACTACATACCTTACAGGCTATTAGAATTGGAATATATGACCTCTGCAGTTCCCTGGAAGCTCTGATTAATGTAAACCCTTCTGACATGATCATTCGGCTGTGGCTTAGATACAGACAGTGACCCAGAATTCACTGAATATGATTGGACCACTAGTTATTTTGTTGTTGACTCGAGAATCTGCCTTTGAGTAACTGCCGCTGTCCTTGGTCCCAATGCTGATTTCCGAATCCTCTTCCAAGATGGCGCGTCTCTGTCGCACGTTACAAGTTGTCCAGTACTGTTAACATGTGTGTCATGGTCACGTCCTGCTATATCTTTATTTTCTTTTGGTTATAAATTTGTAGATTAGTGAAAATAAAATACATTACAATCTTGTTAAAATTTAAATTCACCAAAATCGTCAAATCTTAGGTATAATTTATTTAGTTTTTTGTGGGCAAGATTTTTAAAAATGGCTACTTTAGATACGGAGATGAGGATATTTTAAACTTGTTGATATTTTTCAAAATAAAGAACTTTGGTAAATTTTAATTTTAAAGGTATTGGGGCAGAGGTTTTGTAGCTGTTTTGGGTGTTAATGATAATGTAGCTACATTCATATACAATGGAAATGTATTTTGTTACTTTCAGGGTCCACCAATGAGTTGTATACGATTGGCTGAAAGAGTTGTAGCTCTTATTTGCTGTGAAAAACTGCACAAAATTGGTAAGCATTTGAAAAGCATGTGCAAGTAAAAATAGAGTTAAAAAACATTGTGAAATAAAAACATATCAAGGACTTTGTAGGCCTCTGGGGATTCAGTGGAGCTGTGGACTCGTGGCCCTCACTGTGCCTTGGCAACTGTGGGCGTGACGGGGGTGGAGCCAGAAGACCCGGTGCAGGTGTAGGAGTGCTTTGCTTCCTGCAGCTGAACTGCCGACAGCTGTCATTTTTGTTTCTTTACTGACTCCTTCTAAGTACATAAAGGTTTTCTTACGCTGTTGAATCACAAATGTTTGTATTTTACTGTAGCTCTCAAATCTATATTAGTGTACAAATTCATTCACTTTCTCCATGACTTTTGTCAAGTGATGATAATGTGCTGTTTTCCTGCTTAGATGTTTTTTATTTTTGAAGCTTGGAACAGTTTATAATCCTGCTCACTTTGCATATATGAATGTCAACATAGACTTTGCCTTAAGTGTCACATGCAGTTACTTTTTTACTAAGAGCAAAGATTCTTTCGTTGTCAGTACCCTTCCCGTCGCTCTCTAACGTAGTGCTGTTCTGTGTTACTTACTAATTACTTAGAGTGGCAAAATTTGTGTTGTTTATGTTAATTCTCTTTAAATTTTGTAGGTGAACTGGATGACCATTTGATGCCCGTTGGGAAAGAAACTGTTAAATATGAAGAAGAGCTTGATTTACATGATGAAGAAGAGACCAGTGTCCCCGGCAGACCAGGTTCCACAAAACGAAGACAGTGCTACCCAAAAGCAGTTAGTATTGGTTAGGACTGAATAAAAATCTAGTCCTTCTGACTTTTTATTTCCTGCTACATCAAATCTCAGTCCCCGTGCTTGGCTTCCCAGGCCCCTGTTATTTGGTCCACGCTGGACCTCCACTCGTCATCCCCATTTACACCTCAGCTCGGATCAGCCTGTTTGCTTTTTTGCACGTGTCCTCGGTTCCGTTTCCTACTCAGAATAAGTTGATTTCATTTAAAGAGAGAGTTGTTTCATTCACTGTAGTGAGAAGATTTTTGCTTTACTTAGGTTTGGGGCTAAGACAAAAGAGGATTTGTATGATAAAATAGAGAAGTGAAAAGATGCCCGTTCAAGATGAGGGGCGCACCTGCGGTATAGGTACACGTGTGTGTAAGGAGCTAGAGTGTGGCCTACTGGGAGTCAGGATCGGTTACCTCAGTGCATTGTGCCTGGGTCGTCTGTGGCAGGATTTATGCACCGAAGCGTCCTGAGACTGACTGCTAGTTACAGACGCATAAGCAACAGTGCGTTATAAGGCGGGCGAACTTGGACCACCTTGCATCCCAGACCTGAGAAATGCGTCCTGTCTGGTGGGTTAAGTAATCCAGAGGTCTGCTTCTGTTTTTCTTAGCTTTTCCTCATCAGTGTTTAGTAAAGCCAGAAATCAGTTTGTTTTCGTGCCAACATCTGGGAATGGGGCTATTATACTTGAGCTTAATGCTTAATTTTTTTTTCCACTTCTAGATTCCAGAATGTCTGAGGGATAGCTATCCCAAACCCGATCAGCCCTGTTACCTGTACGTGATAGGAATGGTTCTAACAACACCATTACCTGATGAGCTCAACTTCAGAAGGCGGAAGCTCTATCCCCCTGAGGACACCACAAGATGCTTTGGAATACTGACAGCCAAACCCATACCTCAAGTAAGACACTTGACAGTGATAGTTTATGTTAAAAAATACATTGTTTCCTTAAAAAAAGAAACACTAAGAATGACTGCCTTTTGTTACCTCAGTGTTTCATATTTAAAAATTGAGGTGTGTCTTCTGTTCCCTGACAGGAAGCATCATTCCTCTTCGAAAGTTACTTCTTTCGAATATTTATAAAGGAATAAAATACCTGTTAACCTTTGGGATGCTTTATTTTTCTTTTTGCTAAGATTCCGCACTTTCCTGTGTATACTCGCTCTGGAGAGGTTACCATATCTATTGAGTTGAAGAAGTCTGGTTTCACACTGTCTCTTCAAATGCTTGAGTTGATTACAAGACTCCACCAGTATATATTCTCACATATTCTTCGCCTTGAAAAACCTGCACTAGAATTTAAACCCACAGACGCTGATTCAGCATACTGTGTTCTACCTCTGAATGTTGGTAAGCAGGACCCAAACTCTAAAACGTTCACTTATACTCACTAAAAAACGAAAGTTTTGTTTGACAACTAGCTTTTGTGTCTACTACAGAATCTCTGATTTTGATAACTCTAAATTAGCCACATATATGAACATATACCATAAGTAAGAATCTTTTCTGCATCATTACACTTTAACAGACTAGAGTCTTTTTCTTCCCAAAGTTAATGACTCCAGCACTTTGGACATTGACTTTAAATTCATGGAAGATATTGAGAAATCTGAAGCTCGCATAGGCATTCCCAGTACCAAGTATTCAAAAGAAACACCCTTTGTGTTTAAATTGGAAGATTACCAGGATGCAGTTATCATTCCAAGGTAAGTAGTTAAGTGGAAATCAAAGTGCTGGGATACTTTGTTTCAAAAGGTTAAATGGTTCAGGGTAGAATGTGAGTGGGCTGTGATTTTGGCATTGATGTTTCTACTAAAAAATTTAAGTATCTCTCTATGGTGGACTTGTTCTCTTCAATTTATGTCCTTAAAAACAAAACCTAAACACTGTAATTGAGATTTTACTTTGTGAAGGTCAGGTAATCTTGAGTGGTGTTTGACAGGCTTTCTTCTTAAAATTGCCATCCTTTTAATCCCCAAAGTCTTTTAGAATTTAAATGATATTTCTCTTAAAATTTTAGAGGAAATAATGATATGAAGTACAAAGGATGTAGTAAATCAAATTTTTTTTTTTTTAGTAAAATTTAGGATAGAGACTTTTAGCAATACAGTTCAATACAGGCATTTTTCAAAGAATTAGTACTGGCTATAATATACTCTTTCTCTGATTCTTTTTCTTTATGCACTCAGTGTTATCTTTTAAGTGTTAGCTGTCATCAAACCATCAGCATCATAAATGGTACAGTAACATTTCATCTGGCTAGTGTCTGTTGTGGTTAGCATTAGTAATGTACAAAGTGTTTATACATTTTGGATATTGGAAGTTTTATATTCTGTTTATATTGATGATATAAAGAGATACTTAAAGGTGTCATTTAACGTCCATGTGTTATCTAAGTGTAGATAGTCAAGACAAGGATAATAGGAACTAGGGGAGAATGGTCAGTTAGATTTTACTTGATATACATGTAATTCTTTTTATCAAATCTGCTTGAAATATGTAATTTGGAATTGAAGTTTTCATTAATGTTATTTTTAACCTTTTAAACTCTTACATTAAAATCATATTTGCATATCCATGTTAAAAACAGTTGTGTTTTGGAACAATTGATTTAAACCAAAAGACACTGATTGTTTCTCTTTTTTAGGTATCGAAATTTTGATCAGCCTCATCGATTTTATGTAGCTGATGTGTACACTGATCTTACCCCACTGAGTAAATTTCCTTCCCCCGAGTATGAAACTTTTGCAGAATATTATAAAACAAAGTATAACCTTGACCTGACCAATCTCAACCAGCCGCTGCTGGATGTGGACCACACATCTTCAAGGTAAGGCGTTGGATTTGCGGCATTTTCCCAGAGCTCATTAGGCACCTGTAGGGGTTCACTGTCTCTCTGACCCACCTGTAGACTCTCAGTTTTTGCTCACTCGGTCTTCCGGGGTGCGGTCCAGGGGTCTGTGTTTTAAGTGAGCTTTTCCAGTGGTTTATAGTCGCACCGAAGTTGGAGAATCACTATACAAATGTACTTGTTTTTGTCTGTTCGATAAAACTGTTTTGAAATTTTACAGACTTAACCTTCTGACACCTCGCCATTTGAATCAGAAAGGGAAAGCTCTCCCTCTAAGCAGTGCTGAAAAGAGGAAAGCCAAGTGGGAAAGTCTGCAGAATAAACAGGTGAGGAGCCCCTGGTTCCTAGCGTAACTGAGTGCTTTGAAACATAAGTTTGACTTTTGTAATACCAAGTGAACTAAGAGACTGGCAAATACTTTGGAAATTGCCTGACTCTTGGGTTTTGTTTTGGTTTAACTGATATGTTGAAGTTCATCTCACTGTCTTTTTGGTAATTATGAGTGGATCAGCTTTTACATTTGGTCCACTGATACAATTACATCACGAAATCATCCTTATAAATCCTAGGATAATCCCATTTGGCCCTCAAGGGTTATTTTTTTTAAAATTTTGTTTTCAGTTTTTCAGTTACAGTTGACATTAGTTTCAGGCGTACAGCATGGCGGTTAGCCATTGACGTAACTTACGAAGGAATCCCCTCTGTGAGTCCAGCACCTCCCTGACACCATGCGCAGCCATCGCAGGATCATTGACTGTGTTCCCTCTGCTGTACTTTACATCCCCATGGCTGTTTCGTAACCACCAGTTTGTATTTCTTAATTCTGTCACCTTTTTCACGCAGTCCTCTGCCACCTTCCCATCTGGCAGCCGTCAGTGTAGCTTATATATTTGTTCCACTGATAATTATATCATGAAATCATCCTTATAAATCTTAGGATAAAACCCATGTGGCCTTCAATGATTTTTTTTTATGCTTTTAAAAATAAGGTGGTGCTAGTACTTAAGATCTTTGTCTTTATTCATTAGTGAAATTGGTCTTAAATTTGTTTTCCATTCTTTTGTGTGTTTGGTTTGCATTTACCAATTCGCATTTTCTCACATTCAAAGATACTGGTTCCAGAGCTCTGTGCTATACACCCCATTCCAGCCTCGCTGTGGAGAAAGGCAGTCTGCCTCCCCAGCATCCTCTACCGCCTTCACTGCCTTCTGACCGCGGAGGAGCTCAGAGCCCAGACAGCCGGTGACGCTGGCGTGGGAGTCAGATCGCTTCCTGGGGACTTTAGGTACGCCTGTGCTGTTGGCCAGAAAGAGCAGCAGAACTGAATTAAGTGTCCATTTTAATTTTAGGTAAAATCGTTCTTAAAAGATTTTTAAAAATGGATGTCTAATACACGACATAAATGCATCCTTTGATTCCCAAGTGAAGATTTGTGTAGCCCCGTGTTTTGTAAAGTTGCGGAGGGAGACGAAATGCTAAGATTCAAAGTAACCATTCCTCCCTCAGCGATGGCAGCTGAAGTAAAAATGGAAATAGGCCTTTGTTCCTGCGCTGGCGTTCTAAGACTGCTTCCCTGTGTAAAATCCAATGTATATTGAAAAGCAGTTGCCTTAAAATGTTCTTTGTCTTCGTTATTTTCTTCCTACTAGTAAAGCCTCTGTGTTCTATGGAAGTTATTGGTTTATCCACTCAAATTAGTTTTGATTATCCAATTGGCAAGACCAAGACGGTTCTAGAGCTTGAAGAACTTGTTAATAGTAGGAATTGTTGTTAGCTTCTCTTCCAGGTAGGAAGCTCAGGCACAGAGAGGTCATGGAAATTGCCCAGAGTCACCCAGCCAGGTAACTGGAGGCCCAGGGTCCCAGGCCCCGTGGCCCGCTTCCTGCCTGGCCCCACCACCGCACCGCTGGAGGGCAGGGGCGAGGGCGGCGGCGGGCCGCGCGCGTCCTGCCGCGTCCTGCTGCGCAGCTCACACTGTGCGGACTTCCAGGAATGTGGAGGGCTGCCTTGGAAGCTGGTTTTTCTTCTATAGTAGGAGTATATTTTTAAGGATTTTCATTTATTTTACATTCAAATTACTGTTGCTCTAAGCCTAGCCCTTTTGAAGGATCTGATGAAAACTTATAAAAATGCCTTTGCAGGTACCCTAACTTAGACTTTGGGTGGAAAAAATCTATCGACAGCAAATCTTTCATCTCAATTGCTAACTCCTCTTCAGCTGAAAATGATAATTACTGTAAGCACAGCACAATTGTCCCTGAAAATGCTGCACATCAAGGTGCTAATAGAACCTCCTCTCTAGAAAATCATGACCAAATGTCTGTGAACTGCAGAACGTTCTTCAGTGAGTCATCCAGTAAACTCCCAATTGAAGTTTCAACAGATCTGACAGCAATTAATGGTCTTTCTTACAATGGAAATCTTGCCAATGGCAGTTATGACTTAGCTAACAGAGACTTTTGCCAAGGAAATCAGCTGAAATGCTACAAGCAGGAAATACCTGTACAACCAACTACCTCATATCCCATTCAAAATTTATACACTTACGAGAACCAGCCCAAGCCCAGCGATGAATGTACTCTACTGAGTAACAAATACCTTGATGGAAATGCTAACTCATCTACCTCAGATGGCAGTCCCGTGGTGGCCGCGGTGCCTGGTACTCTGGAAGCTGTTACAGTGCTCAAGGCCGGGACGGGCTCTGAGCAGAGCCCTGCTCCTGGGTACTCCTCGAGGACTCTTGGCCCAAATCCTGGACTCATTCTTCAGGCTTTGACCCTTTCGAATGCCAGCGATGGATTTAACCTGGAGCGGCTTGAGATGCTCGGTGACTCCTTTTTGAAGCACGCCATCACCACGTACCTGTTTTGCACTTACCCCGATGCTCACGAGGGCCGCCTTTCCTACATGAGAAGCAAAAAGGTAAGACATTGTTTTTCTGTTTTGAGCAGTTAGAGGAATTATTCAGGGTGCCTCCCTTGCTTTAAAGGATTGGGTGGTTTCCGAGGATGAGGAAAGGGTGGCCCTCAGGGCTCGCCACACCCGACCTGTGCCGCTGCAGCCTGCGGTGTAGCCGCCCAGGAGTTGGCACGGGTCTGCATGTCGCCGATTACGCCCTGCGGTTGGGGCTAGCTGATCTGTGTGTGCCTTGTTCGGTGGCAGACACTCCGTTCAGATAAAACTGTGAGAGCGTGTGTCTTCCTCAGTTGAGCCGAGTGGACAGCACTGCTTCGGGAGGCTGCCTTGGCACGCCGGACATACGGACGCAGGCGGGGCCCGGGGCTTTCCCGGAGCGGCCCGCCTTCCAGGCCCCGGGGAGCCGCGGCAGGGAGCGCGCAGCGCCTCGCCTGAGCTCCGTGACTGCAGCCCAAGGAGAGTGAGCCCAGGGTGCTGAGGAAGCAGCGCTTGAGAACCCAAGGGGGGGGGGGGCAGCTGCTTAAATTCAGTGTGGAATCACGGTTTAAGGAAGAAAAGTAATGAAGGTCAAATGTGTAGTGATGATAAAAGAGGTGTCACAAGGCAACGCGTGCCTGCTTGACAGATAACTTAGCAAGCCACCAGCCCCCCTCCGCACTCAGGGCAGGGGTCAGCAGAAGAGGCTCATTCACAGTGCATGCGTGAGAGGGACACGTGGCCGAGCATGTGGGCTCTCAGTGAATCCGATGTGGCAGCAGCAGAAGTCTGGACATTTCTGAGAAAAGACTTGAAAAGGAAGGCGGGCTGAAGCCATGCTGTGAAAGATCTCCCATGCTAGGCGAGGGAGGTTGCACTTTGAAAGTTGTAGGCACTGTTGAGTGTTGAAGGTACTTTTTGCATAAGGGACTATTAATATTACCAAAGCAGTGGCTTTAAGTGATCAATCTGGTAGCAGGATGCAGCATGAATTGAAAAGCAAGACCAAGCCAAACCAAGTGACCAGATAGGCGTTCAAGAAGTCCAAGCTTAAGCAGACAATGGGATAGATCGGAGTTCTGGCAGTGAGGGCTGGGGGGCAGGGGCTGATATTTCAAAGGAAATAATAATTTTAGCCAACATTTAGGAAGCGTTTACTCTGGCCAGACACCGCTCTCTGTCCCATTTGATAGATGAGGGCACTGAGGTAGCAAGGTCACCATCACACCAACCTTCCTTTGATGTCACCTGGTAATACCAGGCACTACCCTGGGCATTTCACAGACCTTCTCCCTTAATCTCTCAACGAGCCTCTGAGAGGTGGGCCACATGTCCCCATTTTTCCAGATGAAAAACTTCCTGGAGAGTATAAGTGGTCTGTGTCAGGTCACCTGGCTAATCTAATAAAGTCAGGAGCGTGTCTGAAGCTCAAGCCCTTGCCCTTCACCGTCTTCTTTGCTGCCTCCCAGTATGGTTGGGTGACAGAGCGAGGGCTGGGGGGACAAGACAGGAATGACAACCATATAAACTGGAAGGTTGGGGTGGGGGAGGCAGAAATGTGGGAATCAGGGTTCAGGTTGGGTTTTTAGACCTCATGGAATATGAAATAGAATGTTCAGGCAGTTGAGAATTTTGGACTAAGAAGGTTTGGGGGAGTAGTCTTCGTACAAGTGATAGTTGCAGCTCTGAGGATGAACGCAGTCCCCCAGGGGTGCCTGCAGGACGACAGTATCAGAGACTAAACAGCTAGAAAGAAGTCTGTATACTCTGTAAGGTGAGCAAGACATTATTTTATATTTCAAAAATTCATCCACATGCCTGCCAGAAAGCTCTGACTCTGATTTCCTGCAGAAATCCTCAGTCTCATCCCCCCGCCGCCCCCCACCTTTCAGGGCGCTCAGCCCGAGGCGTCTGTGTCATAACCAGGCTCACGCCCTGGTTCCTCACCCAGACCTAGTGCACGCACACGGCTGGCATTCCTCCCCACGCGCTCGCCCCGTTTCCGCCTGTGGAATTCTGCTTGGCCCGCATTGAGCCTCATAGAAGTCCTTAGTTATGAATGTTTTTTTATCCTGCCAACTACTTCTGTCGACTTTGTGATTCCATCCCTTTCGAGTCCTTGTTGCACTTGGTCCTCTCGTTGCCTTCTGGGACATGGCGTTCTCCACGTATGGAAAAGGAAACTAGCATTTATTTGCGCTGTTGTGCTTCGGGCAGCACAGGAAAGCCCTGGAGTGCTCGGTGGGTGTCGGGTGGACCCCTCTCCCCCGGCAGGGTTCTTGGCAGGGCCCCGCACCCCTGCCTTGCTGACTTTGTTCTCCAGGGGACGCCCGACCCAGCACCTCTCTGGGGGGGGTGCTCCTCCTGTGGTATTGAGTTACTTGGGAAAGGGGCTCGTGAAGTACTTAAATAAAAGGAAACCCAGTTTTTAGAAAACAAAAATGAGGTTGACAGTTGTAGACCTTAGTTTCCAAGTAAAAATGAAACAGAAATGCATTAATTTGAGTAAGTTAGGGAGGAGAGGGAGGCCTTAGGGAAAACAATGTTTTATTGATGTGCATAAACATGGGAGTTGTTGCTGATTGCCTTTTGCTCTATTTTCAATGGTTGAACAAAACTATCTTGAAATACCATCCAAAACAAAAGAATAATGTTTAAGAAAACATTACAATTGAAATCATATTTGTGGCTTATATTCTAGCAATATAAAATTATTTGAACTCTGTTTAGTGCCAGTTTTCACTTTATTTCATTGAGAGTATTGTGACATCTTGGGCTTTTTATATACATTCTTTTTCTGATAGACCCAGTTAGCAATTTGCATTTTATATCATCAGGTCATGCGTTCACAAGGTTGAAATTGAACTCTTTCTTCTGACTTTACAAGGAATTTGCATCTATCTATTATCTATCTATCTATCTATCTCAGGTTTTTTCTCATCTGCATTTAATATTCAGAAATAGTCATCTAACTACACTAAAGGATATAGAATTTAATATTTTCTGTCAGTCTTGACAGTTGAGGACCAGTTACAGTAGTTTTGGTAAAAACATGTTAATATGAATTTCAGTACTGATCATTTATAGTAAGTGTGTTATAAATTTTTTTTGCTAAAGGTCAGCAACTGTAATCTCTATCGGCTCGGAAAAAAGAAAGGACTGCCCAGCCGCATGGTGGTGTCAATATTTGATCCCCCTGTGAATTGGCTTCCCCCTGGTTATGTAGTAAATCAAGACAAAAGTAACACAGATAAATGGGAAAAAGATGAAATGGTAAGTTTTTGGTAACTGGAAGGAGTTATATTTTGGTGATAGGAAGAAGTTTGTTCTATTAATTTTATGTTTCTTTTCCCTGCCATGTTTATATTTGAGTAGATATTTGTTATGTTGAGTTTAATAACTCTGTAAATAGACTGTTTTTTTGTTGAATTTACAACCACTCTTGAAATTTTGATGGAAGACAACTTCTGTTATGTTGCTTGCCAGAGGTGAAGAGTATCTGATGTTACAGCTCAAAAAAGAAGAGAAAGAAACCCCACAACATTTCACTTTCCTGTTACATATTGTAGTTTAAAATAGATCCTTAGCTCTGTTCAATGAAATGACTTTTCAATGACCTATGCTCTCCAGTCTGTGAAATAATGAAATATCAATAAAATCTGCTTTGGCAGCTCAGGGTTTTTTCAGGACTCTTTCTCCTCTTGTGACTGAAAAATAATAATAAGTAAATCTGTGTAAAGAAAGGTTGTTTTCTGGAAAAGGTGTTGCCAGTGACTTCAGAATACTTCAAATGTTAGCGCACCAGCTGCTGTGCAGTGTCTTGTCCGGAAGGCCACCAGGGGGCACCTTGGAGGGCCGTGGCTGTGGCCACGGAGCCGGCAGCTGGGTGGCTGGCGGGGAGACGCCAGAGCCCCTCTAAAGGGAGTGGTGATCTCAGGCACTTTACTTTCTCGGATATTTATTTTGTGCTAATGATAAGCCGGTTCGTTGTTACTTCATTTTTACTTCAGGCCAACAATAAGAATGCCGTTTCTTTCACAGGTTATATTTTCTAAATGTACATGTTCTTATCTTCTTTCTGACATGCACGTCCCACATATCTGTCTTAAGTATTTCCAGGTTGCATGTTCTATGACTCTATTTGGATTTTTACCTCTTTATTGAGTATATTTTCAAGGCATGCAGTATTTTACCTACTGTAGAAATTAAACTTATGTGGAGAAGGATTAAGAGAATATTTTAATGCAAGTTGGGTTAGAAAAAGTACATTTGTCATTAACATAGAAGTAGGTAGAACCTTAGGAGAAAATGTATAGATTCTGAGAATTTTAGAGGAAATACTACATTTTTACAAAAATTATTCTAGTGAAAAAATATATCCTGCCTTGTAAATACTGTTTCATAATATAATTGACTGTTAAAAAAAACAAACAGCATAAAGTTGACATTGGCATGTTGTTTCAATTAAAAAAATTTTTTTGAAGATATAGCACACAGTTCTTTTTCCTGACACTTCAGATGAACTGACATTTTGGTTCTTTGAATACATTAAAAATACTGTTTCTTCTTTCACTGAATAATTTATACTTATTTGAAAAGCTTATCCTTATCCCACTCCTGTTCTACCTGCCCGCCCCCCAGCTGATGGGGTTAAGCGAACGTTCTGTGCAAACGCCGCAGGTGGTAAGAACTCAGGTAGAAAGCACACTTGAACTGTAAGAGAAGAATTTCCTGCTGGTTTTCTTATTTTTAAAGAGCTTGCAGTGCTCTTGGAAACCATTTAGTGAGGCAGGATTCCACTGGTTTGCAGATAGGGAAGCTGAAAGACAGAGGCTTAGGAATTTTGCCCGAGATCATACAGCTTATTTTTGATAAAACCCAGTCCGTGTGTGTGTGTGTGCACAGTCTGCCAGTTATAGCTTATGTTAGCATCTCACTAAAGAGATACAAGGTTTTTTAAATTAAAAATTATTGAGTCTCTGCCCTGACCAGCGTGGCTCAGTGAGTTGAGTGTCATACTGCAAAGCAAAAGGCCGCAGGCTCAATTTCCTGGTAGGGCACATGCTGGGTTGTGGTGCGGCCCCTGGTTGGGGCGTGTGCAAGAGGCAACCGGTCAATGTTCTTCTCTCACATTGATTTTTCTCTCCCTCTATTTCTCCCTCCCTTTCCATGTCTCTAAAAAATAAATAAAAATCTTTTTTAAAAATTATTCAGTCTGATTTTCAAATTGTAATTTGGCCCTTTCTTCTAAGGACCAAAAGAATGGTCTGAAGCATCTGATGTCACCTGGAAAGTATAGAGTTCTAACAGGAAGGAAATGGTTCCCAGAGGTTTGCTGTTGCGATTTCTTTCGGCATTCTTCCTTATTCTTGAGAAAGTGGTATGAACTTTTTTTACTTAAAAAAGTATAGATAGTTATAGATATATGGCTTGGCTCACTTCTCTTATTTCTTTTCAAACAGTTATAGTTTGTATCTCTTTTGAGCCTGGCTTAAAAATGAAAATATTTGTGGTATTTAAAAAGTGCTTGACAGAAAGTTTGAAAACTTTTATTTTTTTTTCAGGACACTCTGGAAAGTTGTCAGTATCAAAATTGAAGCACACCCTCCTGCTTATCCCCCCAAAGTAAAGTTTTGGGGTTTGTTTGTTTTTAATTTCATTGCTCAAGAGAAAGTTAGCATCTTTCTAGCATTGCAAAAAAAGTTCTATCATTACTGAATCCTAACCCATTATTAAGATTGTCATTCACAAATAAGCTTTTGCCAAAGAAATTGGAATTAGCAAAGGTCTTCTGACAGAAATTGGATTGTTGTGTTTCGTGTTAGTCTAGATTTTCTTCTGTTTTTGTCAGTTCTGCTATACTCTGTTACCCTGATTACTGTAGTTCAGTGGAAGGGAAAAGTGTAATTTCTCAAATTCATAGCTTAAAGGTTCAGTGATCACTTTTAGTTTTCAAGTAAAGCAATTTAGTTTTACATTGTAACAAATGTTAAAGTAGAAATAAGGACAAAAACTTCATCATGAAACTCGGTTGCACATTTTTATTGTTATGTAGAAATAGGGACAAAAACTTTATAATGAAACTCTTGCACATTTTTAATGTTATAAAGATATAAGAAATAATTTTATCTGTTTTCATATTATACTCTTAATTGCAAAGATAATGCTTTTTCTATGTCTGGAATTTCATTTTAGTAATTTGAAAATCTTTTTAAAACTTTATCAGCAAAACTGAAGATCTCCTATCAGCATGTGCTTTTTGGTTGTGTGCCCTGCCAGAGGTGGACTTCTTAGCTGGAGTTTTGCCTTGTGGGCACTAATTTTAACTTCATATACCATGTATAAAGTCCTTAACTTAAAGCTTCATACTGGATAAAGGTCATTTTATAACTTAGAAAATGAACATTCAAAGAACATGTTTTACTTTGTTTATATGATTAAATAACTTATTTTATGTTAATTGAAAACAAATGGCCATGATTTTAAAGTTGCCTTTTAGTATTTGTGGTTGTCATTTGAAATTATCCATAACCCTTGCTTTTATTGAGTCTCAAACCCTTTTAAAAACAGCAGCCATGTCTCCTCTCCTTCCCCGTGCCCCTCGCTGCAGACAAAGGACTGCCTGCTGGCTAACGGCAAGCTGGACGAGGCCTTGGAGGAGGAGGAGGAAGAGGAGGAGGAGGAGGAGGAGGAGGAGGAGGGCCTGGCGTGGAGGGCCCCCAAGGAGGACGCTGACTACGAGGACGACTTCCTGGAGTACGATCAGGAACACATCAAGTTTATAGACAACATGTTAATGGGGTCGGGAGCTTTTGTAAAGAAAATTCCTCTGTCTCCTTTTTCGACCACTGATTCTGCATATGAATGGAAAATACCCAAAAAGTCCTCCTTAGGCAGTCTGCCGTTTTCATCCGACTTTGAGGATTTTGACTATAGCTCTTGGGATGCGATGTGCTACCTGGACCCCAGCAAAGCAGTGGAGGAGGATGACTTTGTGGTGGGGTTCTGGAGCCCGTCAGAGGAGAACTGCGGTGCTGACACAGGGAAGCAGTCCATCTCCTACGACCTGCACACGGAGCAGTGCATCGCTGACAAAAGCATAGCCGACTGCGTGGAGGCCCTGCTGGGCTGCTACCTAACCAGCTGTGGCGAGCGGGCTGCGCAGCTCTTCCTCTGCTCGCTGGGGCTGAAGGTGCTCCCGGTGATTAAGAGGGCTGACCGGGAAAAGGCCGCGTGCCCCGCCAGGGAGAACTTCAATGGCCAACAAAAGAGCCTTTCAGGGGGCCGCGCTGCTGCCTCTGGAGCCAGCTCCCGCTCCTCCGCGTGTAAAGACTTGGAGTACGGTAGCTTGAAGATCCCGCCGAGGTGCATGTTTGATCATCCAGACGCAGATAAAACACTGAATCACCTGATATCAGGTTTTGAAAATTTTGAAAAGAAAATCAACTACAGATTCAAGAATAAGGCTTACCTTCTACAGGCTTTCACACACGCCTCCTACCACTACAATACTATTACTGGTAAGGAGCCCCAGACCAGCTTCATTTCTCTGAAACTGAGACCATGTGTTAATTGTGCTACTTTGGCCTTGTTAAAAAAAAATGACCTATGCATGTACAGACTTAGTGCTTAATTTGCATGGTGGGGGGAGGAAGCAACAAAAAATGAAAGAAGCCTTTAATTCCCTCATCTTTTGGGGAGAAGGCGCTGCTGCTTTGACCGTTGGGAGGATAGCTCTCCTCTGTGCTGGCACATGCTATTTTACGTGCTGCGTCATTGGGGGAAGTGGAGCCGTGGCATTTTGCTGTGCTTTTCCTGTTGTACCCCCGCCCCAGTGTCTTTCTGAGGCCTGCTCAGTGCTGCCTTTGGTTCTTGATTTATTTGAGTATTCTGGATGCATTTCCACATCCTTTTATCATTCTTCCTGAACGAAAAAGAGCCCCCTCTTAAAGATCTTTTTAAGTCTAAAGATGAATCGGTTATGAGGAACTGCCTCAGAAGCGGCACGGCCCGCCCTGACGGCTGTCATCCTCTGCTCTGGGTTGGGCGTCATGTGCCTCCCCTTCTCTCTCCCGCGGGCTCCCGGTCCCTTAGACGGGAAGGAGGGATTGGCACCCAAAAACTAAGTCAGCTTCAGCCTGCGCAACCCAGCTGATGTCAACGTATTTTTTCTGTATCAGAGTAAGAAGGGCTTGAATCCAGGATACCAAAGCAAAGTATAAAGTTTGTACAAGGAAAAAAAACAATGTAGATTAAGGTGGTCTGAAAAACGTAAAGCCAAAGGTGAAAAATGATCCAACTCTGGGCTAGAAAGACAGGTGAAATGGAAACCGGTCTTCCTGGTGGAGAAACGAGGCATGGCTGTCCACTGCGCCATCATGGGGGAGGCCTGGGTTCCAGCCTCAGCCCCTGCCTCTTAACTCACAGGGGGAGCTGGGGCACGTTGCTTCGTCTGTCCCTGCCTCAGTGTCCTCGGTTGAATGGGCGCTCTCTAGTCACGGAGAAAGTTTAGGTGCTGGTTAATACTGATAACGTTTCACATTTTGATAGCCAGCTGCTTTTGCCCGAGGCCTTGGCTCACTTCCGCACCTCTTCTTTCTCAGTCCCTTGCTTTGTGTCAAATGTCAACATTTCTAATCCAAGTTGAGAAGAGGGTCTTCTTGTACTAACTGCCACCTTGTGTAGCAGATGTAACCCAGGTGTGGCGAGGCCTGGTGTCACTGACACACATGCGAGTGTCAGTGAGCCAGTGCACACCAATGGCAGCAAAGCGTGAGGCAGGTGGAGGTGTGTGTTCAGGGATTGGCCTCCAGAAGTGACGTGCGACGGAGGCTCAAGGATAGTGCCCAGCACCTGCTGGGCCGGCATGGTGCCAGAAGAAAAGGGCTCAGTGATCATGATGTCACCTTTTCCCTTAACAAGCCGCTTGTCTTTGGGCCACTGAAAGAGTTTATGACCCCAACTTCTTATATAAGAAATGTGCTTAATATGCCAATAAAGTTTAGTTGCCAGAGGCTTCAGTAAGTATGAGATGTTAAGTAATTTTGTCATTGAAGAATATATACGAAAGTGAATCCAAATAAAATTCTCTTCAGTGGCTCCGGGGTCAGACCTCTCTACCCGTCACTCTGTGGCACCCGGGGAAATGACTCTGCCCAGGCTCATGGCTCCACTTTGGCCCCTCCCTCAGATTGTTACCAGCGCTTAGAATTCCTGGGAGATGCGATTTTGGACTACCTCATAACCAAGCACCTTTACGAAGACCCGCGGCAGCACTCCCCAGGGGTCCTGACCGACCTGCGCTCTGCTCTGGTCAACAACACCATCTTCGCGTCGTTGGCCGTGAAGTACGACTACCACAAGTACTTCAAAGCTGTGTCCCCGGAGCTCTTCCACGTCATTGATGACTTTGTGCAGTTCCAGCTCGAGAAGAACGAGATGCAGGGGATGGATTCCGAGGTTAGTGCTGCTGGAAGTGTGTTCAAGGCCGAGTGTCAGCCAGACGTCTGGGCCCTCGGTAGTTTCAGTGCCCTGGCTGCACCTGCACGTTCCCGGGGAGACCTGGGACTGAGCCGGAGTCTTCCGGGGCCCTAGAAACCTGGCCACCCACACGGGGGACGGGGGAGCCCAGAGCAGTCAGGTATCATCCCTTTCCCGTCGCGTCCCCAGTCCCATTCGGGCTTCCAGAGAAGTGCAGTCCCCCGCCCCCGCGGTAGGGTCAACAGAGGGAAGGCTCCGCAGGGCTGATTCGCTCTGCCTTGCTGTTCGGAATGGATCAGGGGCGTTTGCCCAGGTCTCAGGTAAACAGCACAAATGTGTTTTCTGCTTCTGCTGGAAGTGGGAGACTCAGGTAAAGACCAAGCTTCTACATTTTTAACCGTTGGAATTTGAAAGGCTTCTCCTGTAAGTTCAGCCAAAGGTTCTCTGCTTGTGGACCTTTCTGCCGCTTTGTCTGAAAGGCTGTTGCTTAGATGTTCCCAGCGTCCCCTCGTTGCTCACTGCCATCCACCCGCACACCTGTGTGGCCAGGAGGATGCTCCTGTCTCTCATCCTCCCTGTGTGGATCCCTTTGTTTTTCTTATTTTTGTAGGTTTCTTATAAGATGTTAAGGAATTAATTAAAAATTCCTCTGGTAGCCATTTCAATTTTCCTTCTTTGATTTGTTACCTTCCCTTTTTTTAATTACACCAAACCACTGTGGGGGATTTAGTGCATCCTCTTGACCGCCTCTGAGGAGCGAAGGGTCTCAGTCTTGGGGTGTCACCGCAGGCTGCGGCTGTGCGCACGGGATGGCCTCTGCACGGGCAGGAGGTCAGCTGGGAGCGGGGTGGCGGCTGCGGGGGAGGGAGGCCGCCGGCGGAGGTCGTGCCCGCGTACGCCTCCCCGGGCCGGCGGGCTGCGCGGGGACCCAGCCAGCGGCGGGGTTGGGGAGCAGGGCCTTCCCACGTACGGTCAGCGGTGTTTCCAGTCTCATTCTGTAGGAGTACTTTCCACTTAGAATTTGAGGAATTCGCTGAAATTAGATTTAAATTCTCTTTTAAATGACTGGTTCTGTTCATTTTTGTTCATTCTTTTTCTTCCCTTTGTCTATAGAAACAGGTATAGAAGTTACAAAAACTGATTGAAAATGTCATGGCCTGGCTTTCCTAATTTACTATTTGACTTTAAGAAAATCTCTTCACCATTCTGGGCCTCAATTTCCTCATCTGTAAAAGGAGAGAATTAAACTTCCTAGGTTTTAAAATATTGTTTAGGAACAAGAACTCTTTTCTTTTTCCAGTAGTTGGCATTATAAATGATATATAGAACTTTGTGTCACTAAACAATCTGTTGAGAAATTACTGGTGCCCTGCTTTTTATTTCTCTTTCACAAGTAATTTGTTTATTTTAGACAACACAAATAAGCAGAAAGGAAATTAAAGTTACACAACTATACAACCTGAGAAATAATCCAGATTAACATTTTGGGATGTAGTATTGCTAATGTATGTAGATGTAAACGTATATGAAATGGAATAATATTATGCTTAGTGTACTATTACCCTTTTTTTCACTTACTATATTGTGGATGACTTTCCATGTAGTGAGTGGCAGTATGACTTTCAGGAGCTGCACACAAGTCAATATACGGCTATCATGTATTGTATTTAATAGTCCTTTGTGGCTGGATATTTAAGTTGTTTTTAGTTAGGACTTCTAATAAACATGCAGTAAATATTCTTATTTATCCAGTTACCTCCTTAAGATAAATTTCCAGACTTGGAATTGCTGTGTTAAAGAATTATGAACCTTTAAAAAGCTTTTGATACCTATGTAAGTTTTTATTCTGTGAACTCAAATACACAGTGCATGTCAGGTATTCTTTGATAGCGAACATGTGTTAAGTGTTTCATAAAAAGGAGCTTGGAGGAAAATATCTTCTAAAGGAGCTTGGAATCTCCCTGACAAAAGGATTCTGCTTAATCCTTGCAAAGCCACTGGGGGTAGAATCGTTAATGCACAGTTTTTTGATGGCAAGTGAATTTGAAGTTTTTAAAATATATGTATTGACTATTTCTAATTTTGTGCCAAAGTTGTATTTATTTAGAAATAACCTTTTTTTTCTTTGTTGGGTATATAATATTAAATGGGTAGGGATTTTTTCATTTTTTTCTTGAGAAGTTTGAAAACACTTTATTTTAAGGTAAGATACTGTTGTGAAGAACCTATTATAGCACAGTAGGCACGCCGTAAGCGGTTGGTGGTGTTACCTCCATTACAGATGTAATAAAAGTCATAGCCAAGAAAAGAAACATGCCTCTGCGGACTGCCTTTAAAAATGGCCTTTGTGCTTACAAGTCACTTTTCTCTCTGTAATAGCTTAGGAGATCTGAGGAGGACGAAGAGAAGGAAGAGGACATTGAAGTTCCAAAGGCCATGGGAGATATTTTTGAGTCACTTGCTGGTGCCATTTACATGGATAGTGGGATGTCACTGGAGATGGTTTGGCAGGTGTACTATCCTATGATGCGGCCACTAATAGGTACGGTCGGCTCCCCTTCTAAAGAAACAAAGTCAAAGTTAAAAACAACTTCAAGGGTATTATTTACATTATTCTTTTATTTTGATTATAGAAAAATTTTCTGCAAATGTGCCCCGTTCCCCTGTGCGAGAATTGCTTGAAATGGAACCAGAAACCGCCAAATTTAGGTAAGCAAAAATGTGCATGGAAAAAATTAACTTACTTAAAAACGAGGTGGGGGGAAGTTCTCAAGGATGCCATAAACGAATGATTCTGAAAAATATTTACACTGGGGCACGCTCTTGTGCAGTTTCCACTTGCAGTCTGATTGACTTCTCTTTTTGTTTTTATAAAGTGATGCTGAATTAGAAGGAACGGCAGCCCGCCTGCCGCTGGTGTGCAACAAGTCATGGTGCACGTTTCCTTTGTGTGGCGTCGGCTCGCACACGGGACGCTGCGCCCGCGAGTGCATACTTCTTGCTGATTGACAATCATAATAAATACTTCTGACTGCTAATTCAAGCTGTTTGGCCTCTTTACAGCCCGGCTGAGAGAACTTACGACGGCAAGGTCAGAGTCACCGTGGAAGTGGTAGGCAAGGGGAAGTTTAAAGGCGTTGGCCGCAGTTACAGGATCGCCAAATCTGCAGCAGCGAGAAGAGCCCTACGAAGCCTCAAAGCTAATCAACCTCAGGTTCCCAACAGCTGAAACCCCTTTTTAAAATGTAAAAAAAAAAAAAAAAAAAAAAGCAGAATTAGGGTGGAAATATTTCAATTGAAAAGGATGATTTAAAGTTGATACTGAACGGAACGAATTGAAGGCAGAATTTAAAGTTTGATAACAAGATAGATTACAGAATAAAACATTTAACATATGTATAAAAACTTTGAAACTAATTGTAGTTTTAGTTTCTTGCGCAAACACAATCTTGTCTTCTTTCCTCACTTCTGCTTTGTTTAAATCACAAGAGTGCTTTAATGACATTTAGCAAGTGTTCAAAATGATTATTGACAGTTTTGGGTTGTTTTGTTTTGTTTTTAGTTCAATTTCCATCACCTTTGCTTAGTGTTAGGAGGCCACGGAGCTGAAACCTCAAACAGTCCCTAGGGTGATACTCGAGTCCTCGCACGACTCTCAGTGTGTCCCACCTCGTGGGGGAGCCCGATAGGACGCTGCGGTTTGCGAGAGGGAGGGAGTGTGCCGGTGTCGTCTCTGTCTCCATGTTCCACTGTGTAAGATGATGTTTCCCAGGCGCTGTTGCACTTAATAGTAAGGGACAGATTTTAATGAACATTGGCTGGCATGTTGGTGAATCCAGTTTTAGTTTTCTCATGCCACATCGTCTTGCATAAAGAAGGTTCTTGCCTTAAAAGTAAAATCTTCATGGATAGTCTATAATTTCGGATCTTTTTTGGAACAAACTGATTTTACATTCCCTTCATTTTGTTATGCATTAGATGTTGAGATAGTGTGATGCTCACAACTCAACTAGTATAAGTTGTAACTTAAAGCAGGATATTAGGATTTCTGTCTCATGTACTGAAGACATTTTAAAAACCAGAATCTGTAGCCTATGGATTTTTTAAAAACACGGTAATAAAAATGATCTTTGGCTAAATACTCAATTTTACTTAAAAAAAAAAACCAACCTCCTGCTAGGTAGTTCCACTGATGGAAATTGTTTGTGGCAAATAATTTTGCCCTGTAGGTTGTTTCTCTAACAAAATAAACTTTAAACATATCACACCTAAAATATGCTGCAGATTTTATAATTCATTGGTTACTTATTTAAAGACGCAAAACCCAGCACCTTTACCCTTAGTCTTCTCACATAGGTTTCTTATTGTACTTTTCACAGTGTTGCATGTGTATTTCACCTACCAAAGCTGTGCTGTTCATGCCGTGAAAGTTCACGTTTGTGATAAACTGCCGTAATTTTGATACATCTGTGATTTAGCTCATTAATTTAGATAAACCAGCTCGTTATTTCCATCTTTGGAAAAGAAAAAAAAAAAACATTTTTAGGCATTTGCCTAAGTTTCTTTAATTAGACCGGTAGGCACTCTTCACTTAAATACCTCAGTTCTTCTTTTCTTTGGCATGCATCTTCCCCTGTTTGGTGCTACGTTTATGTATTATGCTTGAAGTTTTAATTTTTTTTTTTTGCACTGTACCTATAATACCTCTTAATTTACCTTTTAAAAGCTGTGGGTCAGTCTCGCACCCCCACCAACACACCAGTGGAGGTTTGCCGCAGTTCGCCCCATTAATTACGCTTGAAGTTGAAGGGAGCCGAGCGGAGGTGTCTAACATCTGCTAGCACACTGTTCCGAGCTTGACGCTTCGTGCAGTGCTGCACCTGTGTTGTCAGTTGCAGCTGAACGCTGTGCTCCTCGCTGTGTGTGCACCACCCACCCCAGGGGGGCGCCTCCGCACGCCTCGCCCTGAAAACTGTCAGCTTCACTCGCTGAGGAGACCTGAGTGAAGGGCATGATGCTAAGTTTCTCCGTTATTTGTTGTCTCCAGTCTTACACTTAAATTGGAATGGGTCTAAATTATTAAATCAGTTTTTGAGCAAATTAATTTGGGTGGACTTGTTTTTAAAATACTGAATTCTGATTTGGCAACATAGATTTCTGTTTGGTTTTTTAAAAATAGCTCAACATACGACCTCCTGGCAAGTAAAAACCAAGCGATCCTGGAATAATATAACTGTAAGCATGTACAATTAATAAGTAAGGCTGGATGTGAATTTTACTTATGAGGGTGATTTGTGGTGAGGTTGTGTCACAAATCTCTGAATAGCTTATAAACTACCTGCGGCCAGGAGCTTAGGGCTTTGCGTTGTGTCCGATGCACTAATCCCAGTGTTAGGGATTCTCTCGCCTCCTGGCACCAAAACCAGATTGTTCCACAGTTACAATTCCCATTGGGAGAAAAATGCCTCAATATATTTTGTAACCTTAAGAAGAGTATTTTTTGTTAATACTAAAAAGTTCAGACTTCGATGTGATTAGGTCATACATTCTCAGGGGTTCAAATTTCCCGCTACCATTCAAAATATTTTATCAACAGCAAAATTAAGCTATTTCTCTTTCCTCTCTCTCCTCTCTCTCCCTCCTCCTCCTCCTCCTCCTCCTCCTTCCTGTCTGTCTGTCTCTCTCTCTCCCTCTCTCTTTCAATTTTCTGGAGAAAAGTAGCTGAGTTTAATTTGTGGCTCACACTTTGAAGCATTCTACGATCCCCTGGTTACTATGTTAAAAAAGGAAAGCTATGAGTTAGACCTATGAAATGGTTATGAACGCTTTTGTGCTGCTGATTTTAATGCTGTAAAGATTTCCCCAGTTTAGCTTATTGAAATGTTTCGTGTCTATTAATTAAGGGAGAAAAAAAATCGCTTTGTGTTGCCCCACTTTCCAACTCTGTGTGTCCCCCTTTTGTTCCTGTGACCGCCCTGTGTGACCGAATGTAACGCGGAAACCCTGCCTGCGGGGGTGCCCTTGCGCGACCGGCACCCCGTGACGGGCTGGTGAAGCCTGTCTCGAAAAGAAACTACAGAAATTCCTCATGACGATTGTGTGGGGGTTCGTTGGCCCGAGCCTTCATTGTACATGTCTTTCGTTTCTGTTCCATGCCTTCGGCAGTCCTCACTGTGCTGCGGTTTGTACGGTGATAGTGCCCCCCGCCCCGCCCCGTTCATGTAGCACCGATGAGCGTTGCACTTGGTACCTGCCATGCTTTACCTCATTTCAAGGAAAACAGGCTTCACTGAGAGGAAAGATGGGGTTTGGCCTCGCTGCTGTTTGGATTGACCGAATCTGAAAAAGATCATTGTAATGCCTGCAATGTGTCATATACTTGCACAACTTAAATAGATCGTTTTTGTCTGTGGCATTTTTACTGTTTGTGAAAGTATGACAAAGATTTGTTAACTGAATTCTTAATTATGTTTTAAAAATGTTTGTTACTTTTTTCTTTTACATTATGTGAAGTGATTAAATTTAGAATGACCTCTAACACTCCTGTAATTACCTTTTAAAATACTAATATTTTTATTTTCTTAATAATAGCTTACCCTCAGAAAGATTCCAATTTCCCTGCCTAAATCGCAAGAGACTCGAAGCTGCTTTGGTTCCTCGGGTTCCGTCCACGACGGCAGCCGTTGCCGGCAGGCAGCTCCTCCGGGCACGGCCTCAAGTGCGGCGGGGCTGCGGCGGGGCTGCGGAGGCCTGCGGAGGGCAGAGAGCAGTCAAAACCCAGACCTGCCGAGCGCAGTCTGAAGGCCCAGTTGATTTGAAACTTGGTGTCTTGCTCCGTTAGGGTGTCTAACTCTTTTACACAAAATTTTAGCCACCAAACTGAGGCCTTGATATTTTTATTTAAACTGCATCTGAAATGATGTCGAGTCCCTCACCGGTCTGTGTCCTCTGCAGAGGAGAAGTTCATGTCACGTTTATGACTTGCACGGTTCTTTTAATTACATTTAACTAGGTGTATTTTTTCAACCACTGACTACCTTTCAGGAATTTAATTATTTCCAAATAAATGTCTTTATTTTATATTGTACATGAAAAGTTTTCAAGATACATTGAAGACCAAGAATATTAAAGCGATTTTAAAAGTTATTGGAGACGCCAGTAGCAGTATATAAGGAATTTGCATTGAGACGATTGTATTTTCCACTAGCAGTGAAAATGATCTTGCGAAACTAACTTGTAAATATATTTTAATCATTAATTGCTTTTTTTTCCAGTCTATTTTTATTTGAACATCAACCACAGACAGTTTAAATTTTATAGATGTATTCAGAATTCACTGCGGCAGCAGGTTACATAGCAAAACTGCGAAGGTGAACAGGAAGTAACATTTCTGGCTTTTCTGCTGTAAATAGAATGAAAGAAAATGACTAAAATCAAGTAAAACTAACATAATTTGATTGACAATAAAATATTTACCATTACATGCTGCAGATGTTTTTAAGGAACATGATGGAACTCATTCATACCATGATCAGGCTGCAGAAATTTGCAGTCTGTACCTTATGGGTCAGTTACCTTTAGTTTTCTGTTTTGTTTTGTTTTAAAATAATTGTAGCTGAGTAAATCTCCAATAAAGCTATGGTCTGTTCATGTTCACTGTGTGTCCTTTTATCTTTTTCTTTTCTCAATTTGATCGGCTTGACTGGGTGGTAACTCAAGTAGTTGTAACAGAAATGATCTTTAAAATGTTTTAATTCCACGGTCATATGAAAATGCGTATTTTAATATGATGAAATGTTGTTTACCAAGTTCTGCTTCACAGCTACTTGTAGAGTTGCAGAGGAACAATTGTCTTTTTCTTTTCCAGATTTAAATAATACCAGTGTGTTTTTCTGAACTTCTGCCACAGTGACTGATATGTTCCAGGTCCTGGGTTCCTTATGATAGATTTGACACATTCCTTAAGAGAATTTGGTTATTCTGACATCAAGTGGACAGAATGTTCAGCTTCCAGGCTTGTAGGACCTGCTTCCAAATTGTTGGTTAAGAAAGAATTTTATTATTTCAAGCTTTGACCCAGCCTTTTTGTAACCGCAGTAAACTAAGCGCTAATAGAAATGAGGTGGCTGTAGGAACAAGATGGTAAATGTAAGTTTCTCAGAACAAGAAAAAGATTTTAGTTTTCCTTTGTAAGAGTTTAAATTAATCCCTTCCTTTCCCCTCCCTCTCACTTCTCTAACTAAAGGAGAAAAAGTGCATGTATTTTCAGTGCTGAGGAATTTGGTTAAGCGCTACGTGCTTGTATGTGTTGGTGTTACTGCCCAGAATCCGTTGGATAGTTAAGGCCAAGCCTCAGCCTCAGCTCCTGCCTGCCACCTCTAGACCGCGTCCCTTGGCCAGCCATAGAGCACACAGCTAGGCCAGGAGTATCAGTTTGCAGATCGTGATGTGCGTGAAAAGAATCCAGATGGAAGTGAAAAAGCTTTTGCTTTGTGCAGCTCCATAACCCTAGTGCGTGTGTAGATGGAATGGTAGATGCCGACTCAGCGGGCGCAGCTGCGAGCTGAACTGTGATCTTTGGACGACACTTGGAGCGGGGCGGGGGCGGGGGGTGGGGGGCGCCCAGGTGGGCGTGCAGGCCAGGAGCCGGCTTCCCAGCCCGCCTGCAGGGCGCTGTGTGGACCACTCCTCCGGCCTTTTGTTTCTTTTGGTGGTAAAATATACATGAAACTTACCATTTTAGCCATTTATAAGTACAGTTCAGTGGCATTAAGTTCATTAACATTGTTATGTGACCGTCACCACCATCCATTTCCAGAACTTTTTCTTTATCTCAAACTGAAACTCAGTCTCTTTAAAACACTAGCCCCGCATCCCCTCGCCCCCAGTCCCTGGCGGCCACCATTCACTCTGCCTTCTGTCTCTGAGTCTGACTCTCCCAGGGCCTTCCCAGGCTGGTATCAGACAGTGTATGTCTTTTGGACTCATGCTTTTTTATTTTGCTTTACATAATGTCTTCAAGGTCCATGCCTGTTGTACCATGTCACAGAGTCCTTCTGAAGGCTGAGTACTGTTTTATGTATTTTGCTTGTCCATTCCTCTGCTGATGGTGGGTGGCTTCCACCACGGGGCTGGAGTGAACGGTGCTGCTGTGAACGTTGGTGTTCGCACATCTGCGTCCCCACTTGCCATTCTTCAGTCTCCGTGTCCGGAAGTGGGTTAATAGATCATCCGGTAATTCTGTATCTAGTATTTTGAGAAACAGCCACACTGTTTAACACAGTGGCTGCCCCATTTTATATTCTTGCCTGCAGTGCACAAGGGTTTCAATTCCTCCTCATCCTCACCAACACTTGTTTTTCTTGTTAATAGCTTTTTTTGGGTAACAGCCATGCTCATGGGTATGAGATGGTATTTTATTGTGGTTTTGATTTGGATTTCCCTACTTCACAAGGGTGTTGAGCATTTTTTTTTTTCATTTGCTCATTGGCCATTAATATTTGTTCAGAGAAATATCTATTCAAGTCCTTTGTCCATTTTTGAATTGGGTTGTTTATTTTTTTGTTGTTTTAGGAGTACTTTATATATTCTGGATAGTAGACCCTTATTAGATTTTTTCCCAGTCTGTGGGTTGCCTTTTTATGCCTTTGAATCTCTTGAAAAATTTTGAACTGCAGAACACGTTGACCTCAGGCTGGGCCTAGGAGAGCTAAGGCTGTTGGTCGTGTGCCAGGTGCCTGGCCTGTGCCACAGTCTGACGTGTGTTATGCCATTTACTCCACTGCGGTGATAGAAATGGCTCCTTTTGGAGGGAAGTTATCGCACAGAGATTCAAACTGAGCACAGCAGGCAGGCCACCTGGTTCCCAGCACCGTGACTTTGGGCAAGTCATTGAATCCCTCTTAGCCCACGCCCTGGCCTGCACCGTGAGCAGCCGTCCTTCGGATCACGGAAAGGTCACGCAAAGCGCTGGGCACAGTGCCCTACATGCCGTAAGGCCAGCACGTGAATGCTAACTAACTGTTGCCACGATCCCCATTTTACAGATGGGGGAAGTAAGGCGCAGAGACGTGAAGCAACTCGAATGGAATCACAGCAAGGAGTCAGGGCCTTGAACCCGTGTCTGCCTGAATCAAATGTCTGACCATCATTCAATGAGTCTCTAACTTATGTGGACCTTCTGAGATGAAGGGGGCATTAAAATGTGTGGTTGTATGTACACGTGCATCATACGTGGTTCCTGTGGAGAAGGAAGCCAGAGGCTGACACGACCAGCGTAGGCGGCAGTGGTGGGATTTCTGTCCCTTCGTTGTGAAGGTGACCCGATAGCTTGTTTTTCTCAAATGAAGAAAAGACTCAGGTCTTCGTCAGAGAGCCAGGTTGAGAGCTGCCATTAGTACCCTGTTACCCGACTCACATTAGCCCGAGAAACTAGGGACATGCCCCGTGGCCACTGAAGGCCTTCATGTGAGGCCAGTCTTGGCAAGAGAAGCCATCAGTTCCCCATTTTCAATAATGCTTTGCCAAGTTTGATGAGAAGCAAGCATGTTCTTGAATCTTTGCTGTTTTCCCACCTGCGTTTGCATTGCCGGTGTTTGGAAGAGCGAGAAAAGCCCCTCTCCCTCAGTAAAGCCGCCTGTTGTGCTGTAAGGTGTCACTGTAATTGTAACAGGACTCAAGTGAGTGAGTGGAGCT